CGCAGGTTCGAATCCTGCCGACGACGTTTCTTTTTTTTCCGTATTATTTTTTTCTTTTTATCTCCGCTTTACAATATCTATCATTTCGTGTTATATTTAAGAAAGTACTGACTGTATATTGATGTTAGCGATAGAAATTTTTTTAACATTCGGAATATAATAACAATCCAAATAAATTCAATTACTTTTAAAAGATATGTTAAGTTTAATAAAAAAAAACCAACTCGGGCTTTATTTAACGGTTATGACTACCAAAACTAGGATTTGCTTTGTAGAACGTTGTGTGAGAGTATGTGCTTCATTTCCCATCTCCAAATCTTTTCCATCCCACCTCTCAACCACCCCACCCCCAGAGTTTCTTCCAGGCATCTCTTCGGGGGGGGGGGGGGGGGGCGAAGCCCTCCCGAAAAATTTTTACCGCCCCCCCGAACGAAATGAAATTTATATAACTTATATAGAAAATATATACTTTTAACAGTGTCCGCCCCCCCCCCCGAAGAAAGTTTACCGCCCCCCCCCCCCCGAAGATTTCAAGTGCCCCCCCCCCCCCCCCGGAGAAAAAAGTCTGGAAGAAACACTGCCCACCCCACCTCCAAAAAAAACTAACCAATCTCACTAACTTTTCCCCACCGCACTTCTATAACCCACCCAACCCCTGCTCAACCCATCCATCCTCTCCCCACCCCTTTATACATTCCCCACCCCTCCCACCCCTCCTCCACCACCCCTCCCCGCCTCACTTCACACCAAGTTAAGCCGACCCTGTCTGTCTGCCTATCAGACCAAATAAGACAACAGTGGACGACCTATCCCCAGCCCTTTAGTAGTGTCAACACAATATAACATAAAAGATTCAGCCTCAGCTTCGAATAATGTTTCGTTCATGTAAATTTTTAATACACCCTAGTCAAACGAATCAATCAAACTTAGTTTCTTAATCAAGATGCTACAGGAAAGCAGTACAGTTGTTTTAAGCTTGTCTCACTGTTTGAGTAAAGGTTAGGATAAGTATCATAAGTATAAAGGCGAGTTATGACGTGCATATAGGGTAAGGATTAAAATATCAAAGTTTAGGTTAAAGTTAGGACTAGGTTTATTGCCAGGGGTAAGATTAGAGTATCGATACTTTCAAAAAGTAACATCGTCCGAACGACTTTTTATTAAGTGACAAAACGTGTATAGATACGTGCCTACACACACGACAGGAACTGCGCTAGCTTTAAGCCAGATCAAGCAATGGCTCTGACAAAGACCGACATTGATAAAGACCGACGTTGTTTTAGTTTTTTTTTCACATTTTTTTAAACCACGATTCGAAGACCTTATTGACCCTAAGATCGATACCGCCATTACATGAACTCGCGGGCCGTATCGAACATTCATTTGCAAGTACACTTTTGTATTTATTGCCTTTGATTTCCGATAAAAATCAGGGTGAAATCGTGCTATTATTGTTGTAGTCGATTACCCTGGACAATATAGTGCGGATCTGTAAGAAATAAACGAAGGGTAATTTTATTTATTATGATGTTTTTTATGTAGCTGATCGTGACAAAATATTGTTTTTTAAGATGTTATTAGGGAGGATAAAAACAGGCATTATTTAAAGAACAATCTTTTTTTCGTAGACACAAGAATGAATCATTGAATCTACTAAATTCAACAACTAAAAGCCTGATAAATAACATTGCATAATGTAGAATTCATGTCCATATGCACAATTATAAATCATAATTATTATAGTTTATATACAAGCAAAAATATAGCGATGTAACGTTATTGTGAGTGGGTTTTTTCCCCATACTTTTATAATTAACCATAAACTAAATTATCACAACTTATTAAATTAAGCCGACTGAGTATATTATTCAGGGGAGCTAATACCAAATCTTCAACTTTTTCCTTCGTTTCACCAGACCGCCAAAGAAAGTTCTCTCCCCTTTTGATAGTCTTAGAATTTTGCTTGCATTGTTGCCGCATATATGGTAGTAACAATTCCAGCAAAAAAGTATATCATGGAAAGCATCATGCCTACTTTAGTAAAATTATTTGTTGATTAAATTTTCCTTCGTCATTATCTTTAAAATTGTAATCAACGCATATTTTGCAATTAAAACACATGTGGTTTGTTAGTTATCTTTTCGAACCTGGCGTTTATGGGGTAGATGAAATAGAGTTCACCTGTTTCTTTTCCCTACAGTGGGAGGAGAAAAAAAAAGGGGGGGGGCTTGCAATTTTCGGGGGCGGGGGGCGGACTAAAATTTCCGGAAGGGGGGGGGGCGGACTAATATTTCCTGAGGGGGGGGGGGTTGACACTGGTAAAAATATATTTTCTATATAAAATCTATTTCGTTGGGGGGGGGGGGGGGCGTGGCATTAGAAGTTTTTTCGAGGGGTGGGATTCGATTCTCCCCCCCCCCCCCGAATGAAATATTTTATACAGAAGAGATGCCTAGAAAAAACTTAACGCGAATCAGGTACTTATCAAAGCTGGGTGGATTCGAGCCTGGGATCCGAACTCGATACTTACTGTTTTGCAGTCATCAACAGACTTCAATTGAAGGTGGAAAAAAAAACAAGTTACCTAACCTTGTATCTTAATCTGTGTCACTAATTGTGTCCCTTATATCGTTATGCTCTACTGAAACTCGTTTCTTTTCTTTCAAATAAAAAAAATAATCCCTGACGACTTTCAAAGCAGCATCGAACACCAATCAAGTTCGATAGAATCTGTAACGAGGTTGTCCCGTTACGCATGAACAACTGGGGTAACTCACAACTCTCGGCTCACCGCTAGTGTGGCACCTAGACAATAATCCATCAGATCTTTCTGTGGTTTATGGAATAGGCTAGAAACAATGCAGAAAAATAAAATCGATAATTTAAACAGTTCGGCTCTTTTAAATATTGATCCGAATTTAAAACATTATTTTATTTACATAGATAATAGTCTCATAGTTGTAAAGATTTTTCAACTTCTTTGTTGAAAGATCATTGTTGCTTTAAAAAAATGTTTTTTTTTTCTTTTTCTGTAAATAAGGTTACGAATTATAAAAAGCTTTTCGGGGTAAGGTTTTCGTTACCCGCTAAAACGTTTGTAGGGTGTATTTGATGGTGATTTTTTTTTTGTGAACGCTAACCTCATTATAGTCCTAACCTTAACCAATCGTTGATCCTAGCAATACACTTATGCTTGAACTTACTTATCACCTTTATCATAACCATTGCTTCAAAAAACAAGATAGAATAAGTCAACACCAAGACGAGATACTGTTTTGTCCTCTCAGCAAGATTATGAGAACTGGGTTCTTAACCAGATTAATGATTCCAACTTACGGAGAATATAAATTGTATTAAAACCATTTCTTATTAACAACAACCGAAACCCAGCACACGAATAAAAATATTTTTAAAGGCGCTGTTTTACACCAAAAAAAAAAGCCACGCCTCTTTTGTCTCTAGTTATGGAAATAAAGTAATGAATAATGACGGCAATACGGATGGAATAATAGATAGGGGGAGCGACGGTGGGAATAATAGCATTGTTTGGACGTGCTGAATACAATGGACTGAATAAGGGTGTGATAATATTAATACAGGTATTGGTGTCTCGTTCGTGTCTGACACTTCAACTAGTGTTGTGTTGTTCATACATTGGCGTGAGTAGGGTTGGTACGGGACTGGGTTTAGGAGAGAATTTTATTAGTTGGATTGTTGGATGCTGTTTGGGATATAGTCGGTGGGTGGTCTTTTAGAGATGCATTGTGTGCAAGATACTTTCGTTTGTAGGACTATTTGATGGTGCATTTTAAACCAGGTATTTTCTTCAGTAGGACTATTTGATGGTACATTTTATATCAGGTATTTCCTTTTGTAGGACTATTTGATTGTAAATTTTATACCAGGTTTTTTCTTAAGTAGGACTATTTGATGGCGCATTTTACACCAGGTATTTTGTTCAGTAGGACTATTTGATGGTGCATTTTATACCAGGTATTTCCTTCAGTACGCGTATGTATATATTTCTGTAAGTAGGACTGGTGTTGTATGTAAACACACAAGAAACTCCGGTAAGTAAAACTGGTGGTGTAAGGATACATACAAGACATTTATGTCAATAGCACTGGCGATGTATGTAGGCCCCCTATACATAGAAATATTTTAAGGCTGTTAGGGTGCAGAGTGTATAACATTTTCATGTGCAGGGCTGTTATATGGTATAACGTACGTTTTACTTGTTGGTCATTTGGTTGATGTATGGGTTACGGGATATTTTCTTTCGACAGGCATAATGGACGATACTTACTAATGATTTTTTTAAAGTTCGAATTGTCAATGTTGTATATTGAAGGAAACGTTGTTTTTTTTTTATCTTTAAAGAACATCTTAACAGTTACATTGATTTCTTACATAGGACTTTAAAAAATAGGGCTTAGTCGTACATTTTAAAAGGTGCAGCAAAAAAAAAAAAAAAAAAAAAAAAAAAAAAAAAAAAACTGGACAGGCATACATTTTAAAATGCAGTTTAGAAATGAGTGAACTAATTAACTCAATACACAGCAACAAACTCATACTTTTTTTTACCATCTGATTAGCGTTGTTCACATGGCGCTGCAATCAGTTATTTATAGGTTCATCAAGTGCTAAACTACCTCCGAGTTGCAGCGGCTATCACGTGTTTCTCTTTATGTTGTTTCTGTTTTTCATCGATATTTAAGAATCATTTTAAAGAAAGCAGCGAGCACTTCGAACGCTTGTAAAGAGAATTTGTTTATTTGTTCATTCATTATATATATATATATATATATATATATATATATATATATATATATATATATATATATATATATATATATATATGCCTATATATACGTATTTATTTATATACTAATTATTTAGTTATTGCCATTATTTCTATTACAATAAAATTACATGTAACAACAAATTATTATTTTTTCTTTCATAGGTTGAAAACTACATTTAAATCGATCAACAAAGAGTAGGAACTTAATTTATTCAAAACAGCACAGCCCATACAGATCAGAATAAAACATTAGCCGTTCGCGGCTTTGGGAAATTTTACTTGCTTCAGGGGCCACAACTGTAGATTATTCCACAAGGGCTGCAACTGTGAAAATCAATTCTCAATGTTAAAACTATCAGAAAGGGGAGCAACTAGTACAGACTTTCTCTAGGGTTGAATAAGAAATAAACAATCCTGCATGAGAAAATGTCAAGAGCTGAAAGTACAAACACGCCAACAGACAAAGAGACCAAACCAAAACATCGGCCATCTCGAACGCCAACCGGTACGTGGTTTTTATATTATGACCTTCGACGTTGTTCTGAATATATATATATATATATATATATATATATATATATATATATATATATATATATATATATATATATATATATATATATATATATATATATATATATATATATATAAATATATGTATATATATATATATATATATATATATATATATATATATATATATATATATATATATATATATATATATATATATATATATATATATATATATATATATATATATATATATATATATATATAACGTTGCGTAATATGATAGAAAGTTAATTAAAATTGCAGTTAAAAATATATGTAATAGAAATTCTACTCTTAATATATATAAAGTTCGGATGGGTTGAACTGCAAAGAGGTATCGCTCCTGCGATTGATCTTAAACGTATGTTGTTTTTGGTAATCAACGATGTATTTTTGCAGTTAAATGTACAAGGGGAAGTAACTAAGTAACCGTGTTGCTTGTTCTAAAATATAATACTCTCCCTTTGAATTATTAACTATTAATATTTTAAATAAGACATACAATATATAATATATAGCCTAGTATAAAATATTTAAAAATAGTATATTGTTTGGTAATAGGCATAAATTAGAAAACTTAAAATACAACGCATTTAGGAATGTAAAAAAAACTATTATATTTATGGGCAGGAATTTTTAAAAAAATAATACATAAGTGTTGATACATTTCAATTCATCTATCGAACTTGGGCCAAATGAAATAAAGTTTCTGTGGCCTAGTAATATGAGGGAATGGTGTGTACCTATTGAACTTACTTTTCCTAACGTGTGTTATGTACACATCAGGGCTGGGTGGACTCATGGACGCTCTACTAACTTGAACTCGAATTCGAACTCGACTTTCGTGTTAGCAATCTAGTGCTCTACCGCTAAGCCACACCGTCCTTAAATCTATATTTCATTAGCCTCGAATGGTCATATCTAAAAACAATCTTGTTGTAGTGAACTACAACTCTAGTTGAAATGTCAAATTTTGAGTGTCTGACATTTGACTTCAGTCTCTATAGGCTAGGTAGTTTATATCTAGGATCTGTGGGGTTGTCACAGAGGAGCGTTTTTTTTTGTTTGTTTGTTTTGCTTAGCAACGTTTATGTAGCAATGTCTTTGGTTGTGGTGTGTTCCGTGATGTATGTCCGAGTGTTGTTCAGGGGGGGGGGGAGGAGTTAGTGTGCTTGTGTCTCGAGATGTATGTCCAAAAAGTTGTTTATGTATAGGGGGTTCTGTGTCATGGGGTTTTTGTCAGGGGGTTTTGTCAGGGGGTTTATTTCCAGGTGATTTTATTCGAGAGCCGGGGTTAGAGATTTTATGTAGATTTTTTTTTTTTACATAACTTTTTCAAAAAGAAATCAATGATAACAAATCATTCAACTTTCGATTTATGGAGAGGGGGTGAACGAGTGTGTGTGTGTGTGTGTATGTGTGTGGGTGGGTGGGTGGTTGTCTAACTTTTTACGACGACGTTTTGATGACCAGATGTGGTATGGGGGAGGGATCTGAACTGGCTAAAATTGCGTGTCGTTTGTTATGGTCTATCCCTGTATATGTAAATGAGCTGTTGAGTGGATGTTTTTGTCGAATCGGTGATCTGGTGAGCAAGGATAGGAGAGTTCAGATGGATGGCTATTTTTCGTTTGTGAACACAAACTACGCACTAGCGCTGAGGAAAAGGTGGGAAGAGGTGGGGACAGGGTTGAAAAATTGCAGTGGTTTTAATACTGTTCAGTAAAAATGTTTAAGACACTTGCGTTATGAATTGTGTTTGGGGAGGGGGGGGGGAGGGATACAGATGGGTGGTTGGTTTGGTTATAATCATGTGTGGAGTGGGGGAGAGAAGGGGTTGTGAACCTACATAACCATAACACCCTAACCACTTCCTAACCATAACACGTTAACGTCTCGGAACCCCAATATCTCAATAACCTTAATACCATAACCATAACACCCTAATCTCCCGAACTCTAACATCTCACTAACTTTAACACCATAACATCTTCCTAATCATAATACCCTAACCTCTCCCTAACCATAACATCCTAATAACCTAATCCAATCCCACATTCCTATCGATAACACTCAAAGAAATCGATCATGGATCATGGATTATAACATCACGGTACCCTATCATGTAAATATCGATTACTTTACCAGATGAACTCACACGTTGAGTGCAGTTAAGCCGCATTGTTTCAAAACCTGAAGTACAAACATTGATAAAACAAGACTAACCCAGCCCTTTTTGTATACAAATTATATTACTGGGCTCCAAATTTGGTCTAAGCTTAAATCAGTTTTGAAGTTTCTACTTTGTCAACCGGCCTTTTATTGCTACAAAAATTAGGAGAAAAGATCTAAAAGTAAATAAATATTAAATCGTAAAACTGAGAGAATTGGTGAATTCGTTTCTGAAGCTGATCCTTACAACTTCACTTCTTTACTAATAAAAACAGCCTAACATAATCATATATATATATATATATATATATATATATATATATATATATATATATATATATATATATATTGATATATATTTGTGTGTACATAATATATACAGTAATTTTATATAATATGCATTTTATTTTGGGTTCAGGACTTTACCCTCACCCTCACCCTAACCCCCCCCCCCCCCTTCAACTATCCCCAGACGTCCTCCCCCCAGTCATTACTCCTGAGACAATTACCCATGTCAGATATCCCCTGGACATTACCTACGCTCAAAAAACTGCGGTAGGATATTACCCTCGGTTTATCAACACCCCCTCCCCCAGTTCAGCTAGAATTAGAGGTAAGTTTAGGACATAGAGATGGGATAGTGATATGCAAGGGCGTCGCTAGGTCGGGTGTCACCCGGTGCGGGACCTCATAATGTCACACGCCCTTTTTTATCAGTAAATTTTGTAGTTGGTGAAACTTCATACACCTAAAATGCCACCCGTCTCTATGTTTATGCGTGTGTACATATACGTATCTAGACAACACGGCAGTAACCGCAGATAAAGCTGAAAATTGAATTATAGCCGCGTCAATCACTTCATTGATTCTTCGATTTTATTTTCTACCACGCTCCCACCCTACTAGTAGCGGCCCGTCTCTCAGAGTCAACATACCACTCTCCGGCCAAGCCATGTGGAACATCATTACAATAACTCATGCCAATATTGGTTTCCCTTTTTTTTTAAAGAAAAATATATCCTCCCCTTCCTTTGCCTTCGTAACCATCCAAACCCTCCCCCCCCCTTCCCCCCGTCTGGAAGTTATATGATCGTTGTATAAATCAATACGCCACACCAAAGGGAAACCACCCTAGTTACTGAACCATCTCGTATTTCGAAATGGGGTTCCACCAACTTCAAGTCAACGATCCCCATATGACGTCCGTATTGACAATACTGTTATTGTTGATGGTACACGAAGTAAAAAAAGAGGACTCGAAATCATTGGCTGTTGTTGAATTGTATTTCTAAAGCTTGTTTTTATTGGCCGATATTGTTCACGTGTTTTTAATCAAGCTTGTCACGCGATATTGGAATACGGCGGTTAATTTCATCAATCAATCGAACGTTCCCCGCTCCGTGGAGCCGTATTTAAAGCCATTACCCCTGTTGATAAGGCCACTAGTTTTTTGAGATTTTCCACGAGTTCGAGTCGGCTTTTAATTCACATTTCGGTTGTTAGAGTTGTTTTTGTTTTTTTTCAACTTGAGTTAGATCACGTGATGAAGATGTGTTTTAATATCTCTTTCATCGAGTCTCAGGACAACGGTTAAATGTGATTCTCGCAAGTTCCTGTTTTTTAGAACTAGTAGGTTATTTAGAGTGTTTTTCAATTGCATTGTTTGTAATGTCCACGATAATAAAAATCGGCTTTCGTATTAGAATAATTTTGCTTGTTTTGAATATAAAACAGATAAAAAAACACAGTTTTAATTTCATAAATTAAAGTTAAAACAAATGTATAAATAATAATATAGGCATGAACAATTTTAAATGTGTTTTTGTTGTAATTTTTACTAGTGATGGCACAAACGTATTGAAAAACGGATATAGAAATATTGTGTAAGAACAAAAAGTCTTTAAAATGTTGTGGTGTTGAAGAAAAAAATAAAAAAATAAAATAAAAACTATCCAATAGTAAATTTGTATCGCATTATCTTGGATTCGATTTAAACTACACTGTCTCCTTAAAAGCTTATAATGTATGGTTAAAAACGATTTAATAAAGAACGTTTTTTTAGGTCTTCCATAATTTTAAGGAAAAAAATGTATTGTTTCCTTTAATGTACCCTCACCTTAAATTTTTAGTTTATTTAACATTTTTGTACATAATTCTCAATATGGGTAAATAGTGTTGTGATGAAATCGAAATAATCTCGTATGGAATTGATTTTATTTTAAAACAACTCAATAACCAGAAGCTACCAAAATCGATTTCTCGAAGAAAGTTGCGCTGAAAAACTAAATCGATACCCAATCAATAAAATTTTAAATTGATGCTATTTTAACCCGTCTTGCGGTACTTTGTTCCCGCAGGCCTGCCTGGAGACGAACCAAAACCACGCAAGAGGAAGAACCGCGAGAAACTGGGGGAGGTGGTCGACTCGCTCCTGGTTCCGGAGCACAAGGCTGCCCGGAGGATCATCCGGAGATCCCAGAAACGGCATCCGGCGGTGGCCACGAAGAACAACATGACGCTGTATGAGAGAATCATCGCTTACAGACAGCTGAAAGAGAAGGGGAGCAACGGTAGCACGGAAAGCGAGGTTAGTTGTAGTTTATACTATTAGATAGAATGGTTTTTTTTGTAGGCTATTTTTTTATCAAAGTTGTCGTGTCGAATAGAAGTAAAATATAAAACCTGAACCTATCCTTCTAGATGTCTTTCTTCTGTATTGATGTTCTCAAATGTAAGACTTTTGTAGTAAAGATTACCATCTAAAAGCTGAAGTATTTAACTATTTAGCCTTTCCGATATATTTAAAAAAAAATATTTCCTTTTTCTTCGTGTACATTTCAACTTGAAGTCTATTGATTTCTGCAGTTTACTTTAAAGTTTAAATCCGAAATACCACCCTTGATTATCAAATGTAGTCATCTGTTAAAATAAATAATAAGTGGAAGGTTTCATTACTTTTTTGTACTGAATGTTCAGTTCCTATTTTCTTCGTATGTTTATAATGGGCAGGGAACTTTTGCTATAGAAATTTTGACCAGTTATAAAATATTTTTAAAGACCGAACTTGGGATTGGAGGGTGCCGAAAAGTTAGAACTTTTTTTAATTCAGAAGAAATTATAGCCAATAAAAGTATTTTTTTTGTAAAGTACATTTTTGTAAATGTTGTCTCTTACTTTAAGTATTAAATTTGATTTTTATTATCACCATTTCAATTAGGTCTCTAAAACTTAAATAGTGATTTAAAATGTTCTAAAAGAATTACTTTCAAAACATCGTGGTGGCCTTCCATATTTGTTTTTTTTGCTTTACTGCTTGGCAAAAAAAAAATGCGCCTGTCCTTTAGGCTATAAACAATCTGCTATCGCCATGGCAATTATGGATTGGACAAGTAAAATAATCTTGCTTGCTTTCATGATCAATATCAATATAACTAACACTTCCAACTTGCTATTCGATCCAATGTCTGATTAACTCCCTGTAAACTTTTGATATTATTTTTCATTTGTACTTTAACCTTGCTGTTTTCTTTTAAAATTCCTTTTAATATTTTCCTTAGTCCATCGAACGTGCATTGAATTTAAAAAAAACTTTATTTTTTTTTAAATCTGTCTTAGCCCTTCATGTGAAACTTTACCACAAATTTTCTGACAAGACCATACAAAACAAGACAACAAAACATGTATATAATATCACGCTGATGCAACTTATAAACATATTAGGTTACAATAGAACCTTAATAATCACCAAAGGGTTATTTGCTAGTTCTACATATCCCTAGCCATTGTCTAAAGGAGCCAACAACAAAACCGTTCCGTTTCAAATGAGTCTTCTTTGTTGATATTTAGCTTAGGATAACTGGACGTTATATAGTATAGATTGATAGCTGTGGAAACAGCATGATTCCTTTTTAGGACAGGGTGGCGGGTTTAAAACAGTGCCATATATATATATATATATATATATATATATATATATATATATATATATATATATATATATATATATATATATATATATATATACATATATATATATATATATATATATACATATATATATATATATATATATACATATATATATATACATATATATACATATATATATATATATATATATATATATATATATATATATATATATATATATATATATATATATATATATATATATATACATATATATATATATATGTATATATATATATATATATATATGTATATATATATATATATATATATATATATATATATATATACATATATATATATATATATATATATATATATTTATTTATATATAGGATTGATGACGTTAAAAACGTTGAAATTGCAAATGACAAGGACATGCTGACTTCTAGAGCTACCATAAAAATCACAACACCCATTTGCCACTCTATTGAGTGCATTCGTCTATTTATTTACGACTACATCAGTCAAACTCTGTTACTGATTTTTTAAATTATAATGTCGTTTTCTAAATGGATGAAATACAGGAAGAAGACTTGGCCTAATCTGGCGTTTAATATTTGAGTGTTACAATCACATTGCTTGCTATTTTATTTAGACGTTTAAAATAGACTCATATTTGATTTTTTTTTTCAAAAATATTCACATATTTTCTAGTTATATTTTAGGTTATTTGTGTAATTAAACGAAAGTGATTAAAAAATTAAATTTAAAAAAAAAATGTTAATTCTTTAACATCAAATAAATACTTTTTAAATATTTAAAACTAGTCCAAACTAATCTAAAACTGATCTATTTTTGAATGTTTGATCAAACAACGAAATTTTTGGGTCACATCATTTCCAAAACAGGCTAACTACAGCAAGAAGTGAAGTGATACGTATAGGCGCTACTTAACTTCTTCTAGTTAGAATGTATGCGTACATAAAATTCGTTTCACTTTTTATATCTACACCTTAGGAAACAACAAACTGTACGAGAGTATCCGTAATTTCAATTGTCAACTTGCGGTTTATATGTTGTAGCCATTTTCATACACACACACACACACACAAACACACACACACACACACACACACACACACGTACACGCACACGCTTGTAGCCATTTTCATACACACACACACGCACACGCACACGCACACGCGCACAAACATACACACACACACACATATATATATATATATATATATATATATATATATATATATATATATATATATACATATATATATATATAAATACTAGTTAGACCAAAAGTGACAGGTACTATACAAAGCCTCAACGCCTATCTGGGGCGCATAAAAACAAGCCTGCACGTCAACCTCAACTAAGTAGGCCATACAAGCGTATAAATAACTAGCTCATACCCGTGCTTCGCCACAAGTAGGCCATACAAGCGTATAAATAAAGCTAAAAACCATTTTGAAAAACCTAAACCTACATAAACCTACGTAAATGCGAATCGACAGTATGGACACCCCAAAGGGTGCTGGACCAATACCACATGCGCCTAAGCAAAACAAAGCCTCAAAGCCCATCAGGGGCGCATAAAAACAAGCCTGCACGTCAACCTCAACTAAGTAGGCCATTCAAGCGTATAAATAAAGCTTAAAGCCATTTTGAAAAACCTAAACCTACATAAACCTACGTAAATAAGAATCAACAGTATTGACACCCCGAAAGCCATTTTGAAAAGCCTAAACCTACGTAAATACGAATCGACAGTATGGACACCCCAAAAGCCATTTTGAAAAGCCTAAACCTACATAAACCTACGTATATACGAATCGACAGTATGGACACCCCCAAAGGGTGCTGGACCAATACCACATGCGCCTAAGCAACATGCCACCTATCTGTTCGAGTATGGCCGAATACCGTTAGTATAAACACGTCTACACTCCGGGCCTGTAGTTAATTATAAACAAGTCTACTAGCCAATATGTTGGCACCACAAGGGCACAACTGGAATGAGGCCGATAAATAATTCTACTTGACCGGAAGGAGAACTATGTCTATATATGTTCAGGTAAACGGAGTGCGGATAGAAAATTGCCTAACAAATGGACGGAAGCTGGCAAAACACACTGGGACTACCACTTGTAGACATTTGGTCCAACCGGAGAGCGACATTCTGGACAATGGCGCTTTATAAAATTCCGCGGACGTTACAGGTAACATACACAAGACCAGTTTCTTCCAGGCATATCTTCGCACCCCCCCCCCCCCCGCCTCCACCGTACGATATGGAATGTATATGGAAGACATACTTTTACCAGCGTCCGACGCCCCACTCCGGTAAATGTAGTCAGCCCCCCCCCCCCGAAAATATCAAGTGCCCTCCAAACGGAGAAAAAAAAGGGCTGATAAGTAGGTCACCAACCAGTTCTACGGCTCAATAAAACCTCCATGAGGCATAGAACGGGTTGGTGACCTACTTACCAGCCCTATAAGCCGGCATGTCCGTCTCTAATGCAAGCCGCCAGGTTGTATCAGTCCTTCCGTCAGTCATCAGTATAGGCACTTTGTCTTCGCAGGCATGGTGGTGGTATTTTATGATGGAGAATGGCGACGGGCTCCCCCCCCCCCTATGGGCGCGGACGCCCGGGAAAGCGTGTTATTTGTCGGCGGTTTACATTACACCACGGGGAAGAGAAGGGTAATCTGGGCTGACCCTTACCTACGTCCCCCATAACTCTAATATCGTCATTTTTAACTCCAGCCTTACCACACGTGCAGCACATCCACCTCAACATCTCCCCACTGACCTTAAGTTCCCAACCTCCAATCTTACAAATCCACTTTCATCGAAATACATTACACACACACACATATATATATATATATATATATATATATATATATATATATATATATATATATTATATATATATATATATATATATATATATATATATATATATATATATATATATATATATATATATATATATATATATATATCGGTATCCTCAGAGTTTACCGCACTGCGTGCTTCGCGGGTGTCGGTAGTAGATATACTGCGCGTGGTTGTCGGTAGCACTTTGGTGCGAATATGTATATTCACAAAAATTAAATTACGGTAAATAAAAATTGAGAGCCGACGCCTTCACGAACCAGCCCGCTTATATTATAGATATGCCTTTATATACATATATGCATATCCGTACTTCGCCACGGTGTGGAAATGGATATTACCTCAGAGTTTACCCGCTGGTACGGGTCCCTGCATTGGGGCAAATATTCCTTCAGACGTGGCTCTCACGAACGTCCGCCAAAACATCTCTCCTCCCCGAAACCAAGGCGTCATTTAAACCGCCGCCGAACAACAAGTTTAACCGGCCGTCCGCGCACAGGGAGAGACTTTCAAAATCTATAGCGATGACGGACTGACACACTACCAGCCCGCTTAAATTATATATATATATATATATATATATATATATATATATATATATATATATATATATATATATATATATATATATATATATATATATATATATATATATATATATATATATATATGCATTGATTATTTATCAGGCTGCCTTATATTTCTACGAATATTATGTCTACCTATGTTTTTATTTATGATTACATATACAAACAATTGTTTTTTTAAGTGTGTGATTGTTTACTGAAATTACGGTTTAATAAATTTAGGATAAAATATGCGTGTTTTCTATAGTCTTAGGAAACGTATTATACTTCCAGGGGTTGGGATTATGAAAGACTTTTTTAGAAAAATATGTATATATATATACAGGTTATCAAAGGTATAAATTATATATTGAATACTAATTGCAGTATTAAAAACGCTTCTGAAATTACCTCTATCTGCTACTATTATCTAATAGTTTTTTTATCGCTCTTTGTAACAATATATTCAGCTTATCACTAACTTTTTTACATGTTGGCTTATTTTATTATTCCATTTTTCAAAGTCATGCATGCATGTACAGCTTCTAAATGTACACCTCATTCCCCCTTTTTACTCAATATTTATGTGCCTTTTAAAATTTTATATTATATATTAATAACTTCTAATTATGTTTTTAACAAATTCACATTGACTGTACAGGTGGGGGAGTGGCAGATACACTTAAACAAAACTTGTGACAAATTATTTATTTTTAAAAAAATTCAAATTGAAATTGAATTTAAAATAAACCGGGAGTGATCTCCCCTAAACTTTCTCGAATATTCTTATATAAAACAACAGGGGATGGGAACTCGGGCTATAGACATGATTTTTAATCAATTTTAAATACTTAAAGTTTTAAAAATAGAATAAAATCTCGTAGACAAAAGAAGTGCACACCAAGTGAACGCCAAATAAAAAGTGCATAATAGTGCGCAATATTATTAGTACTTTAAAAATTTACATTAGTTTTTTGAGAAATCGGAAGTAGCGTAAATTACTACTTCCGGTCAACGGAAATTACTCAAAATTTAACAGAAGGTAGAGAATTAGATCTTTGACTTAAATGTGAAATTTCATTTATCTATCTGAAATAGTACTCAAGTTATAGGCTTTTGAAAAATTCAAAGTAGAAAAAATACCACTTCCGGTTATCGGAAATCGCTCAAAAGTTGATACGGATCTACGATTTTGATAAAATACTTAAATATAAAATTTAATCAACCTAGCTGTAACGGTACTCAAGTTATCGTGTTTACACACAGACAGACACACAGAAAACGGACAGAATTGCAAAGCCCAGTTTTTCTGACTGGATTACGCATAAAACCTCTTAATTTTGATAAATCTGGATTGATAATTTTTGCCCAATTAAAATAAGTCCTCTATACCCCGGATGTAATGAAGGACTGAGGAGTAAAACGGTGAAAACTGTCAAAATTTCATGTTATTTTTGTGCACGATTACAATACTTTCTCTATACTTCGTATATACGAGAAAGTAAAAACAAATCTGAACCGAAAATCTACGGGAAAATAATCTCTAACACCGTTGCTAGAAACATATTTTTTCGTTGTGATGTTTTAGGCCATTGTCGGGTGATTTGATTTTACAGTTAATCGCACTGTCCTTCTGCCCGTGTGAAGTTGAATCAGATGTTAGCGAACCAAAAGTGCAAGGAAAATCCATTGTATAAATCAATTGGTTATTTTAAACGTTTCGCTGCGTTTACAAATTTTAAACAACAAAAAATATTTTTCTCTGCAACACATATATTTAAGTATTTAGTAATTGCAAAAAGACAATTATAAATTATTACAAATCAATTATAATAGTTGCATTACTAAAATGAATAAATGAAACATGTAATAAATTTGTACGAAAATACCACACTGGCCTAGTATTAATTGAAAGAAATGATCGTAAAAGAATATAATTGTTATGGACACATAAAATTACCATACAAACTTATTTTGTTTTGAAAAGAAATTCGGTTTGAAGGGAGCAATATGATTTGTATAAGGGTTATAATAAATTATAGTGTTCAGATACGATTTATTACGGTGTTTTCAAGTGGTAATCAAATAATTCGTGCATCTATTGCGGTTTATACGCCTTTCTCCGTTTCTGTTTGCCTTAAAATTAGATATTTTTAAATGTACTGTAAGTTTTAATTAAAAAAACATTATTTTTTAAAACTGCTTAACACACATTTAAATGAGCAATCATTAAAATTGATTAATTAGCTAAACCTCTTGTTGCAAATCTTTGTTGACTTGTAATTAAAGTTTGTGATTAAGTTTATGGCAAAAATAATATTACCGAATCTAAGTCTCTTAACTTTAATCCTACAAATATTGAGTAAAATATTGCAAAATATAATCGATGCGTAATTGATTTTAAATAACTAGCGTAACTAAATGAAAAGTAATTCAACTTGTAATCACTGACCCTATAGGAGGCCATTGTTTTAACAATACGTTTTGAAATTTTCATCGCGGTTATTTTTCTGCTTCGCCAACAAAATCGATCACCTGATCGATTAATCGAACACCGATCGATCTTCTCACCTTCGATGTTTACCGATCTTGTTCCGACAGGAAGCTTCGGTTGCTATGGGACGCCTGTTGTTTGCTCGTCTTGTTGTGCCGGTGTTGGGTCACGGTTGCTAGCCAGTCATTTTTCTCTTCCTGACTTAGTCGTTCCTAGCATCGATCATCAATATTTCTCAATACTAAATATCAATTCTGCTTTAACTATTTGTAACTTTAACGTCGTGGATGATATATATATATATATATATATATATATATATATATATATATATATATATATATATATATATATATATATATATATATATATATTAATTACATATATATATATATATATATATATATATATATATATATATATATATATATATATATATATATATATATATATATATATATATATCAAACCAAGCTGAACTTATCGAACTATTTAGAATTGATAGCTCAATACTGCAACACCGCCACCTTTCCCACCCATTTCGTGTAACGGAAGTCTGAACTAGAATTACCCTCTCCACAATGACACGCAACGGCTTTCCCGATCCTAATCAAGCCCTTGAGCATTGCATATTGGATGAATGATAAGGGGTAATGACGCACGTTACGACCGTGTATGGCATAGCGTATCCACAATGTCTGAATAGTTGTTGAGCAACAACAGTGAGGGCTCCATGGATACTGAAGTTAAAGTCGAGGATATTATTGTTAAAAAAAAAAACAACAGGCGCGCTTTAAAATGCATGTAGTTTAAAATGTAGAAAAGTTTTTTGTTTAATAAAAAGTTATTTACAAACGAGAACGCTAACAAAACAATATATATTCATACGAGTTGAATGGGGGAAAAAATGATAAAAAATGTATGCCTATATCTTTTTATTTTTTTAAAATACGAGTTTAAGAAGCGATGAACATTCTAAAAATTTTTAGGAAAAATAAGCGTCTATGTCTAATTCCGGTATGTTTTATTTTATTTATTTTACATTTTAAAAGATCCTATGGCGATGTAAAAACACAAAAAAAAATCGATTTTTGTTTGCGTTTAATAAATAATAAAAGAAAATGAAACAAACTGTGCTAGTCATGCTTACATTATAATTACATTTACAACCACGTTGTGTCTGAACGTAGTCATGGGAACAGACATACATATTGAGTTTTTCGAATTTGTATTTAATAGAACCTAATCAATAAAACACATTCTTTAAATATATTTTAAAACATCGATATTATAGAAATTGTATAAAAAAGAAACCAATAAGTTTTCATCACAATTTGCTTTACACGCGATGGTTATGAAATAAGGGGGTCATCCATAAATGAGGTCACTCTTTTTTGAAGATTTTTTACCTCCCTACATCTCCCCTCAGTCACACATCGTCACAAAAAGCCAGACCCCCCGCCCCCCTAAAACGACGTCAGCCTCAAACCCCCCTCAAAATTGCAGTTGAATTTTTCTTAAAATACGATATTTTTCTAAAATCTTTTCTGAACTATGTCAACATAGAGTATTTTAATCAATTTCTATTACAATTTATTAAAACATTTTTCTAAAACGCGAAATAACCGCTAAAATTAATTTTTTTTCAACATTGCATTTTATAATGCAAAAGTGTGACGTCACACCATCTGGACACACCCCTCCCGCTCATCACACACCGTCACATAATTACGGACCCCCCCCCCCCTTCCCCCCTACTAGTGTGACGTCATTTATGGACGACCCCTAAAACAAAACTAAAAGAAAAGAATGGGAAAAAAATCTTTCGAAGATTTTAATTAAAAACTGATATCTAAAATAATATTTAATGAAACAGCGTAATTTTTACAGAAAAAAACACACAACAAAGCAATTGCTTGAGAAGACCATAAAAAAAAAAAGATATTTTTAAAAAATAATGTATAAAGAAACAACTTAAGTGTATAAAAAAGTAAAACAAACTTTACCGGAAATCTAAATGAAAAGAATATATTTAAAAAAAAATATAAATATAAAAAACAACTTAAGATTTCTCCATAAAAAACAAGCCTTCGCGAAAATCTTAATTAAAAACTGTTATTTAAAAAAAACATTTTAATATATAGAAAACAAAACACGTTTTCCAAAGAAAAATAGTGCTTGCGAAAATCATAATTAAAAACTGAAATTTAAAAAAAAAGTATACAAAGAAATTGGGATTGATCAAAAATGGGAAGGACATTTTCACCCACCCTCGCTGTTCCTCGCTATGTGAAGCCCAGTACCAACTTTTCCACAGAGTAACGGCCGCTCGACAGAGGATGAGTTCAAACCCCTTGAGCGGAGCGAGACTGGGTGGGGAAGTGTCGATATTTCCCAATACACCAACGTTAAAGACGAAGAAGAAGAGCGAAGATCGCCGACCCCGCTACCGACACTGACCGATGACGTCAGAGCTATCCGGAAGCAGGTATGCTCGGTGTGACGTAATGTTTACATTGACCTCTAGAGTAGATGTGTTTAGATCTGTAGTTACAAATTTTTGAAACACTGTTTGGCTTGATGAGTAGCCCCCCGCGACACGTAACTATGATGTTGTATTTTTTCTTAAAACTGCATTTCTTCGATATTGTTTTGCTTACTAACTTCCAACCTAATAACCAAAACAGATTACATGCATTTTAAAACAGAATGTCAAAATCGCTAAGAAATAAAATATAATTATTTTAAAAATGTTTTAGTCGTAGCCAAAAGCGTTCGATACATAGCGATCCAAAATACAATCCGTAAAATTGATTTAAAAAACACACTTTTGCTTGCACTAACATCATCTTTTAGCTTTTTCTTAACACATTTCTTCTTGCAATTTGTGTATACTAATTTTAATCCTAACCTAATATTGTTCCCTTCTACCCCAGCCAACACCTTTCCCCACCTGCTTCTACTAACACTAACACTAACCTTACTAAACACATCGTAACAGAGATAATTTGTTAACCATACATACCATCACGTTGTTTTGATACATATAAAAAGGGGACTTCTTTTTTTCAGTGTTTTTATATAGATAAAGAATAGCAATCTGGTTGATATATGTAACTTATACTGATATACGGTTATTTTAAAACCATAAGTGTAGGTAAAAGCCGAGATAAGTCTATTTTTATAAAATGTTTGAAAGCATTGCCACCAATATATTTGGAGACCTTTATTTTTCAGTTGCTAAATGTGTAATGTAGTATTAGCAGTAGAAAAACTAGTACTGGGTATCTCGCAATTAGCGGCCAATATTTCATCTATTTTTAAATATAAACATATATTAGGGGGTAGTGGGAATGAATAAGTCCGCACCTATGTATATGTGAATATAAAGTAAAGAATCCTCTTTAGACCTAGCGATCCATTTGGGAAGATGAAGTAGAGTTGTTATGTTTCTTGACCTCGGCATGTGAAGGGAAGGTGTGGACAGCACTTTGTCCTGCAGCCTTTACTTTCCCTAACACGAGTTAGGTACCCATCAGAGCTGAGTAGACTCAGCGACAAGAACTTATGTGTAAATGAGGGTTGCCTATTTCTGTACTCCCGTTAGTATTTGAATATAGCCGGGAGTCTAGGGTGGGTGGAGGGGGGAATGTGTACCTACGTCTCTGAGTATAAAGGTCTCCAAAAATAGCTATGTGTATAGATGCTGGTTCTAGCAACATCCTGTCCCCCCTCTCAACAGAACTCAGGCATGCAGCGAGTAGACAAGCGCAAAAACAGCACCAGACGTCGCTTGACATCACGGGATTCGAACCCAATACCAGACGTTAGTCAGCATGAGGAGTGTGGTAACGATGTGTCGTCGATAGCTGCAGGGGCGGCGGCGGATGGGGAATCAAGTGATAATGATAGTAAAATTGAGGTTGTAGATGTGTTTTCTTGTAACGAAAACAGAGTCACATCTTCAGATAATTTAGAAAAAGATGAGTGTAATACAAGTAGTGAAGAAGAGGGTTCTGATTTGATTTCAATCAATGATAAAGAATCGGCTTCATTTCATAAAAATAAAAACGATATTTCTGTTGTCGATTGTAAGATTCAAATGGTTGATTCTATTGAGACTGTGGTTCCGACCCTTCACATAGATTCTAGCTGTGCATACGACGATTGCGAAGCTAGCTGTTCACACACAAATTGCGATGCTGGTTCTTCACAAGACAATAATGAAATGAAATTTAAAGAAATAAAAAACCAGCACGATGTTAATATAGATATCAAACACGTGCCGGGTTCTACAGAGGAAAGTAGAGAATACCAATCTGACGAAGAACCAGAATGTAAATCATCGACTAATCCTAACGATGACGATAATCTCACGACGGTTAGGCAATCAAAACAAACTAAAAAGGAAATAAACGAAAGCGAAGATAACGAAGATAAAGCAAAAATTGAAAGACTGTCCACAATGAACTGTGAAACTGGTGGACACAGAAAGCTGACACTATCCCTCTCAGACACCCAGATCGAAACTAATTTATCAAAACGATTTCCATTTCTCTCCGAACAACGCTCTGAGTCTGTTGAATCTACAGAAGCCAACGATACTTTACCCGAATCTCCAATCCTTCGAGTCGGCACGCTAAACCCCGCTTACTCCAAGTTTCCGGAAATTATCGATGTAAGCCGGAAACACCGGAAGTACGTCTGTTTGGTTCGCTCCAACTCCGAAGGCAACTGGGACCCTCTGGAGATGGGCGACGAAGAAGAAGGCTCGGATCTAATAGGCCACGACTTGTCCTCGTCAGTTAACGTGCCAGGACGAGGAAGTACGAGATCTCGAAGAGGGAGTTTTCAAATGCATAATTTAGGTTGGGATAGGCAAAGGAGAGGGACTAAGATGGACCAGTTCGGAGAAAGCAATTGGAGGTCTGCTTTGGAGCTTGACCTCGCCCAGAAGGTCATTCTAAGGAGGCGTGTCCTGGAGTCTATGACGTCAGAAGAGAAAGATGAAAACAAGAACGATTAAAATTAATATTACTAAATGATTACAAAATCCGAACGTGATTAAGTTATTTAAATTAAAATAATGTTTTAATTTGCATTTTTATTTGGTATAAAAATTACAACGTGTTTATTGCCTTCACTCTCTAAATTGTTACAACATGTTTTGGCTTGAATCAATGTTGTTATTTTTAACTACACGAAAATACATTTACAAAAATACTTAGAACCGATATGTTGTCAAGACATTGACAGAAAATCGATCTAATGTAACGAATTGTTTGAATAATTGATTTAGAAAATTACATCTTTTTTGTTCACGGAGAAGGTATTACTTCAAACAGAATATATTAAGTACAAGAAAACGTTTTCTTTTGTATGAATTAATTATTTACAATTCTTGTCATATGTATGGTTTTATAAAAGCAAACTTATTTTACATTACAGAACTTTTTTTTTGTTGTAAATTGCCCATTCTTTGTCATTGAGAAAGTGGGTTATAAAAAACGCAGGCAATGCTACATTGCCGCAGATATAAATGTGAACGCTTTGTTTGTTGACATTTTATGTATTAAAAAAAACAATGCAACTACAACATATGACTGGAACCAGTTATTGATATTATAGGTTGTAGAAAGATGAAATTCGGGTTTTAAAATGTGCGCATATTAATGTTTTTACTTTCATTTTAGTTGACAACGTTTTCATAACTTATTACCAAGATATATAAAGTAATGCATCAAAATTATTGTATTAAAGGTGTTTTATTAATTACCTCGATTATTTTAACAATTAACACAAATGACAAAATTGTAAAACAAATTACATAATCTTTAAAACCCAGGGTAATTATTTAGATCAAAACGGTTCAGCAGTATCTTTACATATGGGTTTTTTTTTTTTCGCCACCGTCAAACTCACATAAAAACAAAACTTAAATTTTGTTTTTTGATCGGAAACTTGCTGTTTAATATACACTAAAAGACAAGTTTTACTTCATTGTGTTATTTGATTATATATTTTAAGATATACAATTTTAAAATGTATAGGCTTACTCTTTACTGAATACGCTTGTGTAAACACATATTGATTCTATTAACAAATGTAGTTTTCAAATTTCCTAATCGGTAAACTATTTTTTAAAAATAGCAAACTGATTAACTCACATTTCTCACGACATTTTTACAATCACGCGTTTAACTCTCACATTATATTATCAGTCCACTGTCTATCTAAAATTATTGCGCGTGTTCATTATGAGGTTCGCACAGTTTTTTTTTAATTTCTTATCCAGATCATAACGCAGCTAGGTGGGGGCTATGGGACTGCAGAGGGGGGGGGGGCGTGGTCCATCCCAGGAGGCAAACATTTTTAACAATATTGTGTAGTATTTACACCCACCCACACCCACCCATATATATATATATATATATATATATATATATATATATATATATATATATATATATATATATATATATATATACATATATATATACATATATATATATATATATATATATATATATATATATATATATATATATATATTTAAAGTAAAGCATGAACCTGTAAAGCTTAGCTTCTGGTTAAATCTTTAATTATGCTATATAGATGTGTTTATACCATAAACTTTTTACTGTGTTATTTCTGCGTCTATCTAAATCGTAATTAAATCACAATTATAATTGCCAGTTCAAGTCATCTGTGGTTTTCTCAAATGGACATTCGTCATAGGGATAATATATGGAGAGATCTGCTTATTGAAGGGTTAAAGGTGGCTTCGTTCAATACAATAGATATATTCTGTTGAGTTCAGATTAAAATTTACTCTATAAACACACTACCATATATGTTCTTGTAAGTGCTATCCAACTCAGCAGAACTTTAATTAGAAACAATGCCTGCTTGAAAATAACAACTTTACGGGCTAAACCTGGTTCTATTTTTTTTGGACTTTTGTCTTGTGTCTATGTTTCAGCTTTGCTTTTGCATAATTTTTTTACTAAAATTCTATAATTTTATTTCTAAAACTATTTGCCTTAATTAAAATACATTTTACAATTTTTAAATTATGTTTGTATAGCCGCTTATTATGGTTGTAATTTACTTGCTTTATAATAAATTTACTCGCAATTAAACCAAATTTAGCACTTCTGTTGTGTGTTTGCAAATGTGAATATTTTGTATATCGTTGAACCACCAGGACACCTCAATTTATTACTACAAACACAATTGACAACATTCGCAAGTAATGCAATTAAGTTAATATAAAAGTAATTAAGTTTTATCTAAAATAGGATTTGTTATTATAGAAACTTATTAAATAAAAACAATAAAATAAAATATACATAAATTGATAACGATTGCATTTATACATTTAAAAATAATCATTCGATTATCAAAATCTGGTGCCTCATTAAAAAAATAATATTTTTCGATGGCTACATCTTACTTATTAGAACATCAACATTCTTTTTCCACGTTTGTTTATCTAGTTATTTTTTTTTATTATAACATTTATTTTTGTAGCTGAATATCCACCCTTGATTTGACGCCCTGTACGACCGATTTATCTCCCCTAGTCCGGTCTGTTATCTGAAACAGGACAGTGCATAAAAAAATAATTACAATTTTTTTGTAAATTTACGAGTGTGCAGGAGGAATTGAGCCAAAAATGTTTTCAGTAAAATGAACAAAAGCCAATATTTCAAAATGATTAATATAAACCCACACTATTTTTTTTTTATTTTCTACTTTCTTTACCTAAATGTTAATTTGGTAGTTTTTTGGTTATTGTTAATCTAGTCCTTGTACCAAACACTTACAATATTATTATTTTTTTAAAAGCTTAAGTTTATTTTAATTATAATATTTATAAATCGGTCATAATAATATTTTTATTTCTAATTTTACTAAACTGTGTTTTGTTTTGTTTGACCTTAATTTTTAAGATGGTAATAAATATTTTAATAAATACAATAAATGAATTAAAAAATTACTTTAGTAAAGGCAACATATAATAAACTAATATCGTCAATGATATTAAACTGTATAATCTAGCTATAAACCTGCATACGTAATAACTATTTGCTTGTTATATGGATAACATGAACGATATAACAAAAAAATTAAAACGAATATTCTAATACAAATATATCGACTATTGGTGCACTTGCTTAATTAAAAATTGATTAATATCGATCAATGCGGCGGGTCGATGGTCGCATAGCTGCTCACAGGATCAACATACTTTGTAGGTAGTAAAGATTGCCGATCAAAGAGATCGAACCTTTGTTACGTCGGGATCAATGGAGCGTGACCAGTTTGACACCGTCATAGGAGTTTCATTCATGCCTGCATCTCTTTTTTTTATTTATCAGAGGAAGGTTTCTTTAACATTCATTTAACAGTATCATAAAATAAAAGACAGTTCATTCCACGGATCACACGTGTACACAGACAAAGACACACACACACACAGACACGGATACATACATGCACACACATACTTATATATATATATATATATATATATATATATATATATATATATATATATATATATATATATACGTATAGTACATTAGCACAAATGACAGCTGTGCTCAGCATACATTGAGAACGTCAGGCAGCTTATAACTGAAAGTAAAATTGATATCTTTTGTTTTGATTTTGTATTTTCTTGTTTTATATGTTTGTTTTTGCTGTTGGTGAAATCTTGTTTGTTCGTCTAGAAATTGGAAGTAAATCTCTTTTACCTTTTATCTTCTCTATTTAAACCTTAACCAAGATATGTTTTTGTAAGTCATCTATAATTTTTGAAAGTATATAAAATATATAAGAATCGATATGTTATATTGAGACATATAGTCATTATAAAAATAAGTTTTTTTTTTAATCAGGTCATCATTATTTTAACATGCGGTCAAGACAATGAACACGCACTTTAAAATAGGATTCCAATGATTGATTTATAAAATAATTAAACATTGCGATTATTAGCTACACTTTTTATAATTATCGTCACATTTTATATTTTATATCCTATACATCATACCTCTTTTTCTATAAAGGAACCGTACTACTTTTAGTTACTTAATATATTATTTTTGCCTAATCTCTAGACACTTTTATTAAATAATGAGCTTTAAAACATTTACCATAAAAGCAATCGCTCTATCACACTTAATACAAGATAAATTCGTTCAATATATTAAACATTCTGTTACCTTATTGTCGGATAATAGAAAAAAAACAATTTTTAAAATCAGCATGTGGTTAATTATCATTCCTTTGATTGCGGATTACATTCCAAATGAAAACACGACAGATTTTGGAATTTGATTTTTCCAGAGTTGATGGTCTCTCAAGATTTTTTTTCCATGGAATTAGCTAAATGTGAATATTGTGTATATGGCTTAGCAAAAAAAAAATTTTAATTTCGAAAATTGTTTATCCAAATATCCAAATTTTGATTGCATGCTATCCAAATGTATTTGCATCATATGGCTAGGTATTATTTGTTATTATAAGTTCCTTTGAGTTATATCCTTATTTAATCAAATTAAGTTTTCAAAAGGTACCCCGCTCACAATTTCAAGCAATTTATTTTTCTCTCTTAGAATGGCTCGGATCCAAAGCTGACAGCACGGGATGTTCACGTCCAGCTTGATGACGATAAGCTACAGGTGAGTGTCTGTACGTTGGTGTTTTGTACCTCAACACTAGATAGATCTGTAGTAGTTACAAAGAGGTGTCATAGGATTAACATTAACTAAGATTGCTGGCGACCATGGGTCTATTCTCTTGACGCTTACCTCTTGGGCAACTACTACCTAGTACATTGTAGGTTGAACGATGTGGCCGGGAGTTAAAGCATATCAAAGTCTCATGCTCGGGCAGATGAGGCTTGTTAGCTGGGGGCAGCCACTCTTCTAGAAGAGACAACTCCAAAATTAAACACCTGCTGCCTTGTAGTTTGTTCTTGGTTGGACAAAGGCTATGGAAGCAAATCTAAAAAGAAAAGCAGGCTAAAATAGGAGACAATGGCCTCAATGGCGCATAACCAGTTGACACGTATGCTTAATTGTGTTGGAGGCGTTGTCGAGTCGGCAAATTAGCTCAAGGGGGATCCCTACCAACACTAAAATTAAGAACCAAGTAGAAAAAGAAAATCTCATGTTAGGATCCAAGGCTTGAGTTCGTAGATCATGGGTCTCCAAACTACGGCCCGCGGGCCGAATGCGGCCCGCGAGGTTCTCTCATCCGGCCCGCAGAGATCTTTTTGTCCACGAAAAAAAACCGTTTGTTGGTGATGGCTGAGGAACTTTGCCCAGAAAAATCAAAGACATGCCTGGAAGAAACTGGCCCCCGAACTGAAATTCTATAGTTAATGCGGCCCTCGGACTGAAAAGTTTGGAGACCCCTGTCGTAGATCGTCCTTGAGTTTACTCAGCTCAAATGGGTCGCTGACTCACTTTAAGGAAATTAAAAATACCCGAGCATAGCGCTGCAGTACTGACCATACTATCATAAGTCGAGGGTACAGAAACAGGTAGAGGCGTAGCGACCCTTCCCGGCGCCCGGGGACAAACTTTCGATTTGCACCCCCCCCCCCCCCCCTCAAGCTATTGATTTGCACCCCCCCCTTAAACTTTCGATTTGCGTCGTCCCCCCCTCAGGATTTCGATTTACACCCCCCCTCAAACTTTCGATTTGCACCCACACCTCAAGCTTTCAATTTATTTTTCCAACCCAATTTGGCGCCCCCTAAGGTCGGCGCACGGGGACATACGCCCCCCGCCCCGCCCCCCTTCGCTACGCCTCTGGAAACAGGTGAATTCAACCTTTCGGACCTTACGTCAATCTCTCAAAAGAAGTCATATTTACTTCATTTCGACATCGTAGTTATAAATTATACACTTATAATTCTCTTTGTTTCTTGTGTACAGAAGAAGGAGCCTCTGCCACCAGTCCGCAGTGCCACACCCCCAAAGAAAAAGTCGCCCTCGCCGACCAGAGAAAGATCCAATAGCCACAACTCGGACCTCAACCGACACTCGGTCCTTCCACCAATCACAGACTCGCGCCAAGAAAAGCGGCACTACTCCGATAAACAGGAAGTGAAGCACACTTCTGAGAAGGAGCATTACGCTGTGGACAACAGACGCAATGAAACAGCGGTCATCACTGCTACTGCCGCTGTTGCTCGAAGCGACAAGGTCGTTGAGAATACACACGTAGAAGAGAAAGTCCACAAAGTAGAGAAAAATAAGGCCGATAAAAGAGATGACGTTACGAATAGCGAGAAAACGATACATAAAGTAGATAGAGATGAGAGAAGCCATTCCAATAGTAAAGATGTAAAATCCGAGAAATACTACGAAGAAAAGAGAATAAATGACGATGATGTAAAGCGTGTAAACAAAGAAACGCATAATGAGAAGTATGATGTCAGAAGCAATCACGAGGAAAAGAAAAGTATAACAAACAAAGAAAATTATGTTGAGAGAAATGACGTCAAGAACAATCGTGAAGATAAGAGAACCGATGTGTATGTTACAAACGAGACCATAATTGATGTAAGTAAAACAGAATCAAAGAAAGAAAAAGTAAAAGATGACAGGAGATCTGACAGTAGATCCAACATACGAGAGGTCGAGAAAAAGAAAGAAATATTAAAAGACGAAAGAAGATCGGATAGTAGAAGTAAAGTACGTGAAGTCGATCGGAGAGATAGTCGTGAGATAGTTGCTGAGGTAAGAAGTCGGGAACGGGACGTGGAACGCAGGGATAGCAGAGAGGACGTCAGAGAGAGTCGAAGTCACGTCAGAGATAGTCGAAGTCACGTCCGTGACGTTGAGAGAACAGAGAAGAGCCGTGATACAGATAGTAGAGATAGGAAACGTGACGATAAACGGGAGTACAAAGAAGAAGTTGTGAAGAGCAGCAGTCACGTTCGTAAGGAGGAAAGAAGAAACAGTAGAGAGAAGGATTTTGTGGAAGTAGCTGTAGACAAAGTCAAGAGGTCACACAGGGATGACACCCCGGACAGATCACCACCAAGAAAGCAAACACCCAGGCGATCACCAACACCCGAGAAAAGGCGAACACCACAAAGACGATCGCCTACACCAGAGAAAAGGCGAACACCACAAAGACGATCGCCTACACCTGAGAGAAAGCGAACACCTCCAAGACGGTCTCCGACTCCGGAGAAAAGACGGAAATCCCCGCGGCGGTCCCCGACACCGCAGAGAAAGAGAACACCCCAAAGACGATCTCCTACACCAGAAAAAAGGCGAACCCCCCAAAGAAGATCACCAACACCAGAAAGAAGGAGGACACCAAAAAGATCACCAACACCTGAGAAAAAGCGAACACCTCAAAGAAGATCCCCAACACCAGAAAGAAAACGAACACCACCTAGAAGATCCCCAACACCCCAAAAGAGACGAACCCCTCCTAGACGATCACCTTCCCCTCAAAGAAGATCAGCCACCCCGCAAAAAAGACAATCACCAGACAGGAAAAGAACGCCCCCGAAAAGGTCACCCTCACCTCGCGAAAAAACCCCACCTCCGAAAAAATACCCACCTTTACCACAGATCCCTTCGCAGAAATCAACCGAAAAACCAAGAAAAAAATCTCTCTCCCCCGAACCGCAAAAATCCGATCGACAGAAACCGCAAAGACGTAGCCCTGAGCCAGATAGATCCCTATCTCCCCCACCAAGAAAACAAGCAACACCGCCTAAACATGAAACACCACGAGATTCAGTTCCACAAAAAGCTAAAAACCGCCCAGATGAACCTATCATCGAAAAAGCCGCAGCAGCTGCCGCTAAAGCAAGCCTACCCGATAAACCTAACAAACCGAAACCGGAAGATAAAAAAGCTCAACCGGCGCGCCAAAGTCCGGCACGCCAAACGTCATTGGATGACGAAATCAAGCGGTTAGATGAAATGTTGGATCGGGATCTAAACGACATTATCCAATCAGTTAGCAAAAAACCAGAAAAAGGAAAAGAAAAAAATGAAGACGATAAATTAAAAGACAAAATTTTAGATCCAGGGTTTCAAGCGGAAATGGACAAGTATTTTCGTGACATTTAAAATTGGCGCACAAATTGTTTTGATCATGTATTATCTAAGACACTGTGTAGTAGTTTTGATAAGGAGGATAACATTTTTTATACCTAACTTATTGTAACCATGTTAATCATTGAATACATTTTATCAATAATATTTTATATACAAAGGATATACTGCTAAAAACAAAAATAATCTAAACCAGATTAAGTTTTAACATACAATATATTTATCTTTTCTTTTGGTTGCAATTAGATTGTAAGTGATAATTATGCAAAGTGGACTGTTTTGAACATGCTGTATAGAGAAGTGATGCCTGAAACAAAATGTTTACTTGGTCTGCATTAGTTCGCTTGAGTATTAATAAACATCATGTTAATGTTTATGTAAACTTTTACATGCCAAATTTTATTATATTAAACAATCAAATGTTATTTTATAAAAAAAAATATTCTTATAGGGTTTTTTATTTAACACAATCGCCAAAATTTCTGATTTTTTTTTTTTTACAAATTAAAAAAATGTCATCTATTCGCCTAAAACTAAGAATAAGGTGAATATAACAACATATACGATTTTTAAATAAAATATTAATTTAATAACTTATATAATATTTGATTTGTGTACATCTAAAAAAATATTTTTTGAGTCAGAAAAAATACCATCCGTTTAGATGATACTCGATCCTACCAATTTTAGAAATAGCAATCTTCAGTCCAATCCGGGTATTTACAGGACTGCGCATGATCCATTTTATTTAACTATGAAAATTAAATGCGTTTATTCTGTAATAATGATTACTTAAAATCAAGTTATCTAGTTCTAGGTTTAAAGATAGTTCTATCTTTCGTTTATTTCGTTTGCCAGATAGATTATCTCTCGCACCTGAATAAACAAACAAGTCTAGATCTAAACAATCGGTTACCAAAAAAAAAAAAAAAAAAGTAAAAATCCAAACGCCCTAATAAATAAAACTAAAACGTAGGCATACTTTATTTTAACACGTTGGCTAGACCGCACAAGGTATATTCAGATCTATCGTCAATTCGTGTTAAGTTCTTATTTATAGTCTATGTTTTATATTGTTTACCAAGCATTATTAAGAGATTGTTGAAAATATTAATATTTACTAATATTTAAAAACATTGTATCATAATATAGAAACAACAAATATTTTGTTGATAACGACTATTATGCATGTTTATATTTTCATACAGTATTTTGCCCATAACTAACGATGAACAATATTTACGAAAAACAAAATTACTTTTTATTTAGTGCAAGGGAAATAACTCTCTATACTTTACCAAACTATTTACATATTTAGACTTTTTTTTTGCACTTGTATCTTTATCGTGTTTTTATTCAAATCCGTGATAATAATTTTGTCATACAAACTACGACATAACTATTTTCGTGATTTTTATACTTAGGTTTTTGTATTGTTGGTGTTATAAAAATCAAATGTGTTATTTATAATATTAAAATAATTTATGAATAATTGAATTGATTTTATGCTGCAATTTAATTTTATAAATACATTACATTTCATACAACAAGCAATCACCAACATAGATGCTAATTTTACAATTTTCAAATGTACAACTGCTTGCAAACATATGCATGGCTATCCGTGTGTTTCGGCTGGCCGTCACCATTGGATACCTTGTTACCATGGTAACATAGCCTCTTGTGCATTGTTGATTACACGTAACAACTAACAGCGTCTTGTTTAAGTCATTCTTACTTGTTGGTTGATTAAATACGTTTGTAATTACAAAGACGTTTGGTTGTTGTTTCGATGTTGTTTTGCTTATTAATTTCCAAATTAAAAATTAAATTTGCCGGCGTTTTAAAACAGAGCGTCGTTACCATGGTAATAGCACCTCTTGTGCATTGTAGATTATGTATCAGAGTCTTGTTTATGTCATTCTTGCTTGTTGGTTGATTAAACACGTTTGTAATTACAAAGACTTTTGGTTGTTCGTTTTCTTTCTGAGGGTCGGGTAGGCCCAGAGGTGTCACTAGTTCTGGTGACACCCGGTGTGGTGACCCAAAGTGTCACCCAATGGCCTAACTGCTTATGGCATTAGTACAACGACTACATTGATGTTATACTTCTTCTTCTTCGTTCTTAATTTTTAGTGTTGGGTGGGATCGAGCCTTATCTGCCAGAGGGTTTGAACTCGAGACTTTTTTTTTTCGAATTTATCAACTATGAGCTTTGCCGACTCGACCATGCTTCCATCACAATTAAGGATTACGTGTCAACTGGTTATGCGCCATTGAGGCCATTGACTCCTTTTTCAGCCTGCTTTTCTTTTTGGATTTGCTTTACCGACTCGACCACGCCGGCCCCTGATGTTGTAGTATTAGGTGTCGCGCCAATGTCGGATAGTGTCATTCTGGTGTATACAATGGCGTCTCAAGATGTGTGTGTGTGGGGGGGGGGGGGGGGGGGCAGATCGAAAAGTGTGGAACTAACATAGGAGAGGTGACACTACAACGAAAAGCAGCAAATTTTAATGAGAAACTTTTAATTAAAATTAAATACATCATTCGGAATAGAATGACGCCAAATGAGAAGGATTTGGCTTGTGGTGGCATCAAATGGCCTATTGGTTGAATACACCGTTGGTGGAGTGGGGGGGGGGGGGGAGTGACACCAAAGGTGATCTCACCAGGTGTCAACAAATCTAGTCACGCCACTGGATGTATATTTAACCGTTATAATTTTTTTTTTTAATTAACTGGGGAAAAGCTGACTTTCACAATAAAACCTGCTAAATATCGTCTTGGTGACACCACTTTGGGATGGTGTCACCCGGTGTGGTCCCTAATGACTCCTTAGTTTGTCTAACATCATTTCACATGGTATTTATAGTACTTGCCGGTGTGAAAGATCGGCATTCTTATTTGAATTAATTAAAGAAAGTAAATGCATGATTAAATATTGTATACCTAATGATTGAAGTTGATAGTTGAACTTGGAAGCAAATTAAAGGACAAAGGATAATTCAAGCATTTATTGTGAACAACAATAAAGTTTCAAATTCCAGCCGTACCGGAAAAATAAACTACAAATAAAATCCACTAAGCACCTATTCATATAATTTAACAAACAAAAGTGATACAATTTTTATTTTTTAAAATGACTACGACATCTATCTATATATATATATATATATAATCAGTGTTTCTTCCAGACTTTTTTCTCCGGGGGGGGGGGGGGGGCACTTGAAATCTTCGGGGGGGGCGGTAAACTTTCTTCGGGGGGGGCGGACACTGTTAAAAGTATATATTTTCTATATAAATGATACAAATTTCATTTCGTTCGGGGGGGGCGGTAAACATTTTTCGGGGGGGCGAAGCCCCCCCCCCGAAGAGATGCCTGGAAGAAACTCTGTATATAATTCTCTTCTGGGAGACGTTAGAAAACAAGCTGCAAGCGCGCCTTGCAGTCCCCTCTCTTCTTCTCTAACGCTACCCCCCCCCCTCACATGGTCTGGTGAGCTGTGGTTCACGCTAAATGTTTACAAGCCGGGTTTGGTGACGGCTATTAGGGGCAGATAATTTAGTTTGAAACGATTTTAAACTTAGAGGAGGTAACTAAGAGGAGGCTGCTTTCACGGGGGGGGGGGGGGGGTAGTGTTTTAAAGCAAATATTTTCAGTAGCAGCATTGGTACTGTCGAATTCACAAATTATGAATTACTGAAAAGTAGAAAAAAACAACTAAATCGGCTCGTTGTAAATAAACGAAAACGAGTCTTGGTATCTTTCGGCGGACATCTTTATCAAGGCGCCCAAAAAATGTAGGTCAATAATTACCCTACTCTGTGTGCACAGAGTAGTTATCCCCGATAACTAATATACTTATAGATTAAGTAAAAGGTATTTTTCTCCCTATCGTTATATTTGAGTGCTTTAAAAAATTACATTAAAACAAAAACAACTAAAAGTATTTTTAAAATAAACAATGCAAAGCACAGAAAATTAAATTACGTTGGATTTTCAAAAATGTAGGCTTCATTTCTACCTGACTGAGGTATGTCTATATGATTATTTATGGTCAGGCAACATTGCATAAACATAACAGCGGTACAGGGGTTTATTTAAACAAAATTCCTTTTCCTTGGCTATCCAAACGTACAAATTAAGATACCAAGAACAACAGCTGTAACAGAACAACTCTCCTCATCTGTGACACAAGGACACGTTATCGGAAGAGGTCGTAATGTTATGTTACGACTAAGTTCACAGATAAGTTTCAAGTACATTCAAACTCTGATGGATAACAGGGAAATTGGACCAAAGTATTGATACAAGTTCGAACTGGTGGGGCTAGTCAATTCAAAATACACGCACACGCGCGAGCATACATTTATATTTGAAAATTATTCTTGGCAAAACTTAACTTTGACATTTAATTTAGCTATTTATATTTACATTTGCTTCAAGAGCTATAGTTTATGATTGTGAAATATAGTTATAATTTAATCGCTGATCTACAGGTTTAAATAATTTCTTGAGCTAATTTATGTTAAGCTAAATTTACACTATAAATATTCAGCCTATTTTAGTGTGTTTTTATTACTAAATACAATTATGCTATTCCCGAGTTGGCTTACTGATTGTACGTTTGTAGGGCAGTAGTCTCAGTGATTCGATGAATCAGCACTTATTTGACGTCTTGTAAACAGAGGTCATATATCGGGACAAAGACTTAATTCTATATTTTTATATTCTGTGTATTTTAAAAAAATATTTTTACATGGATGGGGGTGGGGTGTGGATGTGCTCTGGGCTGGGAGGCGGGCGGAGAGCTGCCTTAAAAACTTAACTGGTTGCGTGACGTCGAAGTAGACTCCGGAGGGACGAACGAGAAAACTTCTCAACTACGATAAAGCGGCACTTGCAAGCAGTGCCGGCGCCAGGTTATATAACGCCCTAATCAAAACTTATTAAAACGCCCCCTTTCACATAAATTACTAAAACATATGTATAAGAAAACAATTCATTAAAAGTGACATTAATTTATTATCAATAGCATAAACGTTAAATGTAGACATCAAAATCAAATTTTACTTGCCTCCTTCGTTGCAAAAGTTTGTGCTAATTCTTCCAATTTCAGTTTGCCAGCGTAATCACGTTTTATTGAAATTGTTGCTAAGTCAACGAATCTACTTTGTACTTTACGACATAGCCCCCCTCTCCCCACCCCCTTAGAAAAATTTAAGAGCCCCCCCCCCTCCCGGGGGGAAAAAGTCTAGAAAAAAAAACATTGAAAAAAAAAGTACTTGTAGTGTTCGACTCTCTGCAGTCCCCCTAAGGTGAGTTCCAAAACAGAACTTACCTGTTTTAAGCTTGACTGTTTTTAGTTATAATTGTAAAGTGTCTATATTGTGTGATTATGTAACGATTTTTTTGTTTTTGAAAAATAAAAGGTTATAAATGTTATAGATTCCAGCATAAAATTGTTATATATGAATCCTTTAGGAGAGGGTGAAAAATATGAAAATACAATTAATTAGGTGTTTAATTTACGACAAAGACTGTATGTCTACAAACATCAAATATTGCAATTTACAACGGCTACTGATGTATTTGTTTTTCAACTTGATAATGCTAAAAAACCTACCAAACTATTTTGTTTACAACTTAAGCTCTATATAATTTTTACAGTAACAAATAATAACTTAAAGTTGTATTTATATGTGAGCGGTCAACCTAAGGTGTAGGAATTTGAAATGAATGTAAAGTTAAGCAACGAATTATCTCCCATTTGAAAATACAAATAACAAAATTTTATTCAAGGGAAATAACTTTCTCAAGAATTGCTACATTAATCAAGTGTAACTAAGACATGTTTGGAAAACACTATAAAACAATCTAAATTTCATTATGTAATAATTATAACAAATATTTTATATTACCTATGTAACCTTGTAAAAACAATATATTTTATATATTGAATAATTAACTGTACGTTTTGTCTGAAATTCTAAAAGCGGTAGCTGTATTATAACATACTTCTATTCAAGTTTGATGACATACATTCATTTGCATTTAGTTGAATAAAATTGAATCAAATTTTGGATCCCGTAAAGGGATGTCTTTAAAAAATCAAACACGGGTAACTGTTTTAGACATTGCTAGAATCACTTATTAAATATTAAAAAAATATAATTTGAAAAAAAAAACGTCTTTTCTTTATAGTAATTTAAATAGTAGTTTATAATTTATTTTCTACTTTTTAGTGCATTAGTACATAAAAGCTTGTTATTAAAACGGTTTTTTATGAATTTTTTTCAGTACTTTACATGTTTTATTTACAATAGTGTTACATGACTAAAAACCATTGCGCGTCTATTGAATGTGATGGCGCAGCTATTGAACCTGATGGCGCAGCTGTTGAACGTGATAACGCGTGTGGTGTGGTTGGATAGACATGCCTACTAATTCGGTCCAAATTTTAATTAATTCTTAAAAAATAATTAGGCATCCAATTAAGTCAAATTTAGTTTCAGAATGCATTGTCTTCATGTCTTGACCCACGTGCCAACTGTGAATCGTATCGGTCAAGTAGAAGTTTCCGAATTTTCACTCCGGCGTTTCGGTCTAGACAGACAGACAGACAGACTGTCGAGAAAGTGAGTTAAATAAAAGCTTGTAATAAAAGCTTGTAAAAAAAAATTCATAAAAAACGTTTTAATAACAAGCTTTTATGTACGAATGCACTAAAAAGTAGAAAATAAATTATAGACTACTATTTAAATAACTATAAAGACGATGAGGGGGTCAAAACTGACCTCTACTGACCGGTGCCTTATATGAGCTATAAATAGAAAAAAATGTCCACGGAGGAACCTCTTCATAACTCTTGAGGTCGTAGACCGACCCTCGGGCGAATTAATTAAGCATTCAAATTCTCAATGTTTTCGAAAGCCTAAGCGAAGCTGGGCAGCATGCCTAGTTGTAAATAAAACATGTAAATTTAAATAGTAGTCTATAATTTATTTTTCTACTTTTTAGTGCATTATTACATAAAAGCTTGTTATTAAAACGTTTTTTATGATTTTTTTTTGTAGTGCGTTCCGTACTGAATTGAAATCATCTAACCTACGATAAAATCGACTACTCGATATACTCTACTACATTCACAACACATATCAAATTTCGATACCTAAGCATAACTAGACTCGATGTTCCAGAACTACGACACCATCTCGTTTAACTTCACCAAGCTCTACAAACGGTAATCCCAATTAACAACGATTTCACTGGACCTACTACTTACTACACTTGAACAGTCAATATAATTCGATACCTTAATACCACAAGGATCAATACCCCCGCAGTCCAGAACTACGATACTTCATCGCCTACATTCTCATCTCTCTACTACCAACCAGATTCCACTAGACATTCAACTACACAACAGCCATAAAAAATACGACACTTTAAAACTGAGATACTTTATACCTACGAAACCATATAAGCAATAGCCTTCCGCTGTTCCTAAATCTAACCGGTTTATCAAAACTTATCAAACAAGTGACAATACTTTAAACACCCCGTCATTACAAAACTCTATACACCAAGACAGATTTCTAATTCAAAGTAAGAGAAAACGAGAATTACAAGCCCTATTAATTTAATATTATTATTTAATCGTTTTCTACATCAATTATCTGACACCAAATTAAAAAGTCAAAGTGACTGGTAAAAAGCGCCCCGGCCTTTCCAACTTAGGGAGGTGGGGGTTGCATTTTAACCATAGCGAATAAATATAGGCCTATAAAGGCCTATATAGACATAATTTTGGGGTGAAGGTGCAAAATTGAAAGTTCGTCCTGGGTGCCGAAATAGATCGCTACTCCTTTATAAAAGTTATCAATTATTAGTTACTTTTCGGTAATAGCGATTACACCTTTTGCGCCCCCACCCCCCGGGAATGGCGCCCTAGGCGACCGCCTAGTTCGCCTTATAGGTAGCGCCGGCCCTGCTTGCAAGTCTCAAGATATGCACAGATAAAATCTTAACCATTTACACACAAACCTCATACTACAAGTCATTACATTTCTGTATGCGGGAGTCTTAGAAGCTGGAAGCTGATTTAGAGTAGATAAAATCCAAGCCATGGAAATGACATGCTATTGATTATACAAAGTTACTATGAGTATCATATTAAAACATGATTTCAAAAGACAGTTTGTGGCCTGATCCAAAACAGACTGGTTAGTGGTTTGCATTATGGCGTCGCTAGGTGGGGGGGGACTCCCCATGCCGACCTTAAGTTGTGTGTGAGGGGGGGGGGGAATGGGGGGGGGAGAGATCGCGATTTAAAAAAAAATATAGCCAACTTGATATTCTGATATTTGGGGGGGGGGGGGGGCGGACTAAATTTTCCGGGGGGGGGGGATGGCGGACACTGGTAAAAGTATATATTTTCTATATGCTTTTCCATTTCGTTCGGGGGGGGGGGGGGGCGGAGACTTTCCTCAAGAGATGCCTGGAAGAAACACTGATTATATATATTAAAAAAATAACCGTTTCTTGTCTCTTATAATGAGAAGACAAAAGATGCTGATACTTGAAAATAATATCGCACTGGTTCAACAAGTAGGACTACTTTACGATAACAGTTCACTAAAGCCAACGAACCAAAGTTCATACCGAAACCTTGTTCAACCTATGACGTAACAAAGTTCGACGTTGTGTAACTTACACCTACAACTGTTTTGACCCGAATCTGTTGATCCAAAACTAATATACAACACTTTTAAGTAGCGGGGGTTGGTTGTGTATACAGATTGTACACAGAACCACGGCCCAGTTTAATAATAGATAACTAAGTGATTAACGATTTCAATCAGGGACGCTGATAATTACTAGTCTACAACCGTGACCTATATTAAGTGATTCGCGCCTACAACGCAGGCTCATATTGACTGAGAGTTAACATTATGATTCAGCTCCCCCCAAAACTCGCGAAAACCGGTTATCACGTCTGGTAATAGCGTACACGTTTGAGTGCTTTGCTCCCCGATTGACCTACTTTGCTGATCACGGGTGCGTGTCGATAACCGCGTGCCTGTGTAGTTCGACCGCAGAGTGATGAGGTTTCAAATGAAATGAGGTCATCGTGACCCACACAGCATCGCGCATTAGTTAGCCTCGTCACCGTGGTTTTATTTTGATCCCCTCGCTTTGGTCATTGTATGACACAAACAGAGGCCTATTGTTACTGCAAGTTACCATAGGGCCCTTTTTTTTCCAGGCTTTTTTCTCCGGTGAGAATACGTGTGTGTATGGGGAGGGGAGAAGGAGGGGGGGGGGGGAGGAAGAATTGAGGGCTAAATTTTCCAGGTTGGGGTAGACACTAGTAAATGTATCTGAAAGAAACTCAAATAAGGCGCACTCAGACATGGGGGGGGGGGGGCACTTAAAACATCAAAACGAGGGATGAGTCCCGTCAACCCCCCCCCCCCCCCCCCCCCCACTTCCACATCGGAGAGATGCCTGTTACTCTGAAAGAAACACTGATTGGGTATTCGCAGTTCAATGAATTATTATATTTTTAACTCATAGACTAGACCTCTATAAAATAACACGAATAGGCTTTTATATTTTACTTTAAAATATGACTTTGCGCCTAGTCGATCTGTTCAATGTTTTTTTTTAAACAGACTAGAAAAAAAATTATTCTTAAAATTCAAATAACTTTTTAATCTAGTTATTTTAATTTATTTAGAGCAAAAAAAAAAAAAAAAGCAGTGCTTTACTTTACTTTATAAAAATTAGGTCAAGGGCAATGTTCACGTCTTAAATTTATGATATTTGTCCTTCACCTCAGAGGTGAAACATGGCGGGCGAAGGATTGGTAAGCAGTGGTTTCATAGATTTTAGCAACATTTTTATTTTTAAGTTTAATTTCTCATAAATATTTTCAATTCATCGCTTTCAGAACCGAAAGCTGGATCTAATTTCCAAGATTTTGACTACTGGTGTTATGAAGGCCCAATGTGAATCGCCAAAAAAGGTATGTCACATTGTCACCCATCGTGTACGTCGTTTGTTTACAAAAAAAAGTTACATCATCGACATCAGGATCACATCGCTATTTTTTGCCCTCTTCAAATAAAAAGGATTGATTAGTTAAATATAATATACAGATATGGTTACTAATAAAAATCCGAAAATAGAATCAAGATCTCTAGACCTACGACAAACAGATTTTGAAAAAAAGATGGTGTTAGGCGGTTAGTTGTCTCGACACTCTCCCAGTCTCTAGATCTAGTGACTAGTCTAGTGACTAGTCTGAGTCTAGTGTGAGTCTATTCTCTAGCTTAGCTTTTCTCTAATATTTCTAATGTCCAACAAAAATAAAGGCTAATGCCAATCCAAAACTGTAGATACATTATTCTATTCTATATTATAGGCCTAGATCTAGATCTAGACATCTTGAAATGGTGTTAGTAAGGCCTAGGCCTATGTAATAGTATGTAAGTAGTATGTAAGAAATGTAGAGTCTAGATCTAGTATGTAAAATAAAACTGTCATCAGTATCAGTATGCCCAACAAAAACAAAACAAGGGTCAATGTAAAACTGGCCTAGACATTTAGAAAAAAATTAAACGCCAAGCTCTCAATGTTGATAGTTGTTTAGTTTAGGGTCCTACTACTCTTCCTTTTTTTGAAAAAGTTACTTTTCTTACGACATAATTAAATAATTAGCATAAACATTTAACATTTTATTGCTTTTTCTAGCAATTTATTCTAGCGAGAAGAAGATGCACATAGCTGATGGTATTTTTATAAAAGTTCTGTAGGCCAGACTAGTTTGGGGTGTGTGTTTGTGGGGGGGGGGGGGGAGAGAAGAATAACTATTTATACTGAGACCTAAGCAACATATATGCTAAGATATAGGCTTAGGTCAACTACTAAGTTTGTTCTTTTGTGTTAACTTTTCAACTTGCATTTGGTTTTTAAGTTTAAATAATAATCATTAAAAAAGTTTTAAAAAACCCACATTTTCTGATTGAACTAAAAAGTAGAAAATAAACGCTATACATCACAATAATGCAAGCGATCACTCTACTATAAGCGATGAAAAACGTGGGGCGCCGAAGTAAAAGTTATATTACTATTGATTAGATAATACTATTGACTTTTATTAGGGAGCTTGTAGAGAGTCAACAGTATTAGAAACTGTAAGAAAATCACGGCGCCCCACGTTTTTGATCGCTTATAGTAGAGTGATCGCTTGCATTATTGTGATGTATAGCGTTTATTTTCTACTTTTTAGTTCAATCAGAAAACGTGGGTTTTTTAAAACTTTTTTAATGATTATTATTTTCTACTTTTTGGTCTTTGTCTGTTTGTTTGCATTAAAATCTTGCTATCGATTTTATCTTTTCACTTTTTTTGGGTAAACGAAGACAACTCGTAAAAAGACAACTCGTAAAAAGACAACTCGTAAAAAACACGTTGTGTGAATACGTTACTGACTAGAACACATAGATTTGAACCCGTGTCGAGTGGGATAGCAATCGTGTGCCCAACCACTCGACCATATCGTCTCCCCCAAACTGGCCTACCTCCTGTAAGTTTTAAGTCTGTTCAAACTAAATTATCTGCCCCTAAGCCTGTCGCGTCGTGGAATCGTTCGCTTCACTGCGCGCGAGCTACGCGTCGCTGGTTTTTTTTCTAATGGCTCGCAGAGGAGAATTATATATATAGATTATATAGCGGTCTAAAATGCTCAATAAAATGTTTCCATTGATCAATTTAGTAATAATAACAATTGCATATTCTATGGTCATCCAAAAGAAAGCTTCCCTGAAAATTTCAGCGCGCTAGCTAACTGGGAAGTGCCAGAAATTTCGATCGCAAGATTTGATTGGAAAGACAAATAAACAAACAAACAGAGAAAGCAAGTTAAAGAAAACGTGGGAAAATCTTATTCAATGGCAGGGCTTTGGCGAGGGTTCATTCTGAGTTAGGGGTAGTGATAGAAATGTGTTTTGATATAATGATTGGTAATGGGTTCTAAAGTAATATCAGACTGTTACCCAACTAATTTTGTAATGCTATGGATTTAATTTTGTCAATCAAAGAGGTAGTGGATTTTTTAGGGTAGTCCTATAAGAAGTCCATTTTAAATATAAAAGGTGGTAGTTGAGCCTTATAATGTATTAATTTACTTTCCATTTAACCTCTGCTATCTTTAAGTCTTTTTGTTATGGTGATTTGTTATCTATTATACATGTCACACCCATTCATTTTTATTGTTCATATATTTTATGCATATTATTTACATACTGTATGGTGAGTTGTAAAGAATCACCAGGTTGGTTACTTCAATGAACCATTAGTCTTGTATTTATTTTTGCCAACGCATATACGACTTTTTCAAAATATTTAGGCTTTAGACCTACTAAAATATCTATGAATATTGTACTTGTAGGGTGCGACTATTTCTGAAGGGGTGAGTGATTATTGGTCAAGTTTCATCATAGTACACACATCATTTAGCTAGTCATTGTACTTAACGTAAAACATGAAACTAACAAGGAACATATAATCTTTTATCCAGCTGTATATTTGTGTGGTACATTCTACATTATTTTAGACCTGAGAGTTATATTCTTTTTTTATATTTTTCATATAATATTAATGTTAAACATTTTTTTAGAATGTTGTATTTAAACTTTTATTTCCAAATACATGTCCACTGTGTGTAGATTTTTAAATCTTAGAATAGTAAAGTTGTTCATCTCCCATTTTTATTATAAATTCATCAAGAGACTTTTTAAAATTTAAACTTACTCATAATTAGATCATGTTTAAAAATATTAATTTTAAATTGGTCTACATGTGATGTCTCAAACTGAACCTCAGAAATAATAATTAACCAACACAATAAGCTGTACTTTTTAACTAAATTTTAATTGTGTAATTTTGAATATTTAAATTTGCAGATGCAAATTATTTGAGTGTATAAGTATGACATATTAATTTAATAAGACATTCAGTATTGTAAATATGATTGATCTGTGACATTATTCTGACAATTGCAAACAAAATTTAAATTTAATATTGTATAAGACATTCTAAAATTCATATAAGCTAAAGCTATATAAAGTCATAGCCAAAATGCTATGTTTTATGTTAAATTATTACACAATACAATTTATTTGAATATTTAATGATAGATTACAAAATGCACAGCTCAAGTTTAAGCAAACCATAAAAAATTAAGTAAAAAAAAAATGAAATAGTTAGAATTTTGCACTATTAGCAACACCAACTTGTATAACCCTTAAAAAGTATAAATAAAATAAAAATACTTGGAACAACTGGTTTGTCACAAAATAGGGATAGATACATTTAGATAATTTGTCAGGAAAATATGAATGTGCTTTTAATTTTAATCAAATTTTTGCACCTACAAGTTTTAATTAAGTACATTGCACTGTGACTATTACTGAGATATATGTAACACTATTTGCAATAACATTAGTAAAGTACTAATTCTTTTTTTTTTTTTGAAAAATAACAAAAACTATATTTTGGAATTGGATAACAGTTACAGTAAAAAAATTGAAGTTTTAAACATTTTGTTGCATAATTAGAATATTTGTTTGGTGTTACTTTTGCTGCGCATTCTTATGTTAGTAATTATTTTTTGAATTGATTCTAGTTTACAGAATTTTCTATTTCAGCATGTGGTTGAACTCATCAAAAGATCTGAAACCGAAGATCTCAGAGCAGTTTTTGAGAAGGTAATTTTTCTTTATTACATTCATATCCATTGCAGTTAGAAATTTTAAAAAGAAAAACATTTTAGAGGTATATTATAGGTTTATACAATTTAAACTTTAAAAAGACATTTTAAAAAATATGGTATTAAGTTGTATCTGTAATTCTATTTATATTATTACTAAATACATATTTACAGTGCTTCATTCTTTTTTTTTAGTATGCATCAAAAACAAGTGATGGAGAAAAGTACATGACATACTCAGACCTGATCCTTAAGTATATGCAACTTCTAGACTTGGAGAATTATGACCCCTACACTTTCAATGTGTTTGCATCCTGTGTGGACACCTCTAGAGATGGGTCAGTCCTTATACAGAAATATACATCAATTTAGAAAAAAAAATGTTTTAGTGTGCTTAAGTTGTTTTCTTTAAGTAGCTTGATAACTTACTCAATGACTGAGGTACAATATCTGGGCTTATGTTTGATTATTCTAATTTTGTTTCTCTCTACCAGACTTATTTCCTTCTCTGAGTTCCAAGGCTTTGAAGCATTGCTGTGTGCCCCAGATGCCATGTATGCCCTGGCCTTTCAGATTTTCGACCGCAACGGAAACGGTTTCATTACTTGTGGTAAGATAAGTCAAGTGGTGCAATCAAAACTTACCCCCATGTTCAAATCTTTTTCTAAGTTCATGTTTATATTTGAAGCTGAAACACTAAGTTATTTTTCATATATTTAATTTGTCAAAACAAGAAAAACCCTTATACAATTCTGAAAAAGGATTGTCAATTTTAATTAAATTAGTCCAATTTCTTTACCTGTTGTTTGATAAGTTTTTTCACATTGTAATTTGACTTAAACAAGCAATCTTTATTTTGTCATAAGTTCTCAGTTTTGTGAAGCAAAAACAAAAACAACAATTCGTTTAAGTTATACATCATAAACATTTTTTAAAATAATATTAATAAGCTTTGTGTGCAAAGTTAAGGCATGTCTGAAATACATATAATAAGTATATGTTTATTGATTAATCTACTTATGCCTATCACCTTTGTACAAGTAAAGTTCCCTTTTCAAACCTGATGGTCCTTGGGGCCATATGCCCAGACACCTTTACTCTTCCAACGTGAGTTTGGTACCCATTAGAGCTGGGTGGACTCAGTGATGCTACTGACTTTAACCCAGATTCAAACTTGATGCTTTCAAGTTAGCTGTCTAGCGCTCTAACCCTTGACCATGTTGTCCTACAATCCCAAAAAACACTCAGTATCCACCTATGCAGTTCAGTGTCTAAAGGTTAGAGAAATGGTTAAGAAATTGTTACCTACAAGATTTTTAATACTGATCTAGTTTAACTATGTTTATTTATTATTCTTACAAAATTGAGAGTGTAGTTTTAAAGACTTGGTACAAAATATATTTTTTTTTACTTATTACAGATGAATTTGAGGACATCATCAAACACACAACCCTACATCAATCAATTCCTTTCAACTTTGAGAGTGACTTCATGCAACTTCATTTTGGTAAAGACAAATCAAGGAAAGTAACTTACTCTGAGTTCACACAGCTTATTCACGTGAGTTATTGCTTATTATTATTATGATTGATATTATTTACTTATTTATTAATATTATTTGCTTCCTATTTTTTAAAACTAAAATTTGTGTTAAACTTTTTATTACATTTACTATTAAGTTTTAAACATACGTTTTTTATAGGATTTTCATGAAGAACATGCATGGCAGGCTTTCAGACGAAGGGATAAGAATAATAATGGCTACATCTCTGCCAAAGATTTTGAAGAAATTTTGCTTTCTTTAAAGTCTTATCTTCTTACTCCCTTTGTTAGAGAAAACATTATCACAGTAAGTTATGCAAATCTACTGTTCTAAAATAAAACGTTATTGTAAATTTAGCAGCTATTTTTTAATCATTAATTTCTCAATCATCCTCTCTAAACATTAACTTTAAAACTTTGTATGAATAGGTGAATCCTTTTGTATAATTTTGTTATATTTCTTAAATAAATGATTAATCAAAATATGAAAAATTTAATTATTTTTTAATTTTGGAAATATTTGGCATTTCGCTAAATATATGTTTAGATTTTACACTTATAGAGATCAAACATTTTCCACTTTTTATTTTAATGGAAATGAGCTTTTTCCACTTGAAGTTTTTTTTCTTTTTAGGTTAGTACCTTTTTCTGCTGATTCATTCTCTTTATTTTTGGCTGAAATTAAAATTGAAAAGGCAAATTTATTTCTGAAACATGCAGAGACATGCGCACATCTTATTATATTAGATTTTGCTATAGACCCTTTTTTTAAAAAAATGTTGACAATCTCAAAACTGTTAGATTTAAATAAAAATAGAAAGTTTAATCAGATGAAAATTTAATCAGGTGATTGTTGGAGAGGGACATCAAAGACAGATCAGCTACGCCTACTACACAGCTTTCATTTCTCTTCTAAACAACATTGAGCTCTGTAAGAGAATTTACATGGGAGCCACAAGAAGAGATGAGACCAAACCGTTATCAAAAGGTTAGTGGATATTTGTCTGCTGATCATCACTGGTTTTCTCCTATGTACTGGGCAAATTTTTTACTTGTAGTGTATTTTGGCAATAAACACGTTACTTATTTAAGCATCTATAATTGCTGTAAATTAACTAATTCTGGTGTAAAATTTTCAACTGTATGCACATAACTTTCATCAAAATTTAAAAAATCCTACTTACCCTACTTACTATGTTCCCAAAATAAAACTTCATTATTTGAGGTATTGCTGTAAATAAATATTTATTGAGAAAACTTAATTTAGATTATAAATACGAAGATTTTCTTTGTGGACATAGAAAATTAATTCCTTTAAAAATTAAAATAGAACCTTACAATTTTTACATTAATTAATCTTTAGTAGGAGAATGTTTGCTAGTTTTATACCATTGCTTTATAAATTTATTTTCTCTTTGAATGTGCTAGTGAAACTCTTTCAATATGATGTGGTAATTGTACAATTTTCCTTGTTTTCTTATTAGAGGAATTTCTCTACCAAGCTCAAGAATTCTCCCAAATTACCCCCCTTGAAGTAGACATCCTTTATCAGCTTGTTTTTCTTCAGAACCAACAGAGGTATTATTTTATCACATTACCTTGTTATTCCTTAAATTGTTTATCCTTTATATCATTTCATACATTAATTATATATAAAAGATTTTTTTTAACTAAGAAATGATCTTTTGATATTTAAGTCAGCTTTAAATTTCAAAATTTTAAATTAGCGGCCTGTTTTTAAATAATTATATTTTCTTTTTTTCTACTGGACTGAATTTATAAACAATATTATATTATTTTAACTGACTTAACTATGTTTTGAATGCATTCAAGATGTTCACTACTTGACAGTAGGTTATGTATGACTACCATTTAGAAACAAAGCCATATTATTTTTTTTACTGACATTGCTATGTTGTGAATGCTGTCACGCTCAGTAGCTGTTTGTTTCACACTGCTTTGTCATCTCATACATGAGAATCTTGAGCATCCCACTCTAGGGGCATGGCTGTGTCACGGGGTTTTAGTAGCTTTACCATCATATTCTGATTGTTGAATCATACTTGTTGACTGGGCAGTTTTTGTTATATCACTGTATTAATTAAATAATTTAAGCAAGAACATGAATTACAGTTTTAAGAAAAAACTGTGGTCATTTCACCCTATCAGACCCGAGGAAGGCCCTGAACCTGCTTCTTTTACCTGGACACAAAGTTTATTTGAATGCCTGGTGGTAGAGAATTGGAATAGAAGGTTTTGAGGTTTTCCCAAGTTTGGTTAGTTATTTTCAGTTTGTCATGTATTTTTCATGTCCTAGGCATCAGAAGTACATCAGGCTGGTAGGATTAAACAAGCAATTTTTAGAATACATATGAGTGTACGTAGTAGGTGCAGCACCCATGGGACATAAAAGCTGATAGCGTTGTGTATAAATAGGACTTGAATGTAAAAGGTTTATCATTGGTGGACCTAACAAGCTGATAGTGTTGTGTATAAATAGGACTTGAATGTAAAAGGTTTAGCATTGGTGGACCTAACAAGCTGATAGTGTTGTGTATAAATAGGTGTAACAGGTTTAGCATCTGTGGGTCTAATGAGCTGATAGTGTTGTGTATAAATAGGTGTAACAGGTTTAGCATCGGTGGGTCTAACAAGCTGATTGTGATGTACACAAATGTGATTGAATGTAACAGGTTTAGCATCTGTGGGTCTAACAAGCTGATAGTGATGTACACAAATGTGACTGAATGTGATCTCTGTTTCAGGTCACAGCCTGACAAGCTGTTGCCCAGGTTGATAAACTTCTGTGCACATTTACCTGTATTTTCTTTTGCTTTTATAGCTATTTAACACATTGGCCCACACTGTCTACTTATAAATACCTCTTAGCACTTTATTAAATATATACTTTACTTATATACTTTACTTACCATTTTATTACTTGTTCTATTATAATTAAAAGGATGCTCTTATACTATGTTAAACCTATAAAGAGTTATTCACTAATTGTAATTGAAACATTAATTTTAATGTACATAAAAATTAAATGGAAATCTTACAATTATTTGGTTTTTACCTATGCATCCTTTTAACGATGTATGCAGACCATCTGTATTTATGTGTACTTGAACTCCTATATCCACATCTTGTGATTTGCTGGTTTTTTGTTCATAAAGTGATGGCTTATAGTCATACAATTATTTTAATTGAATTATTGCCTCCCTTTGTTGTTAGACTTATTTATTCTTTGAATTGATGTAACTTTGGTTTCTTTTCATCTTAATTTTAATCTTTTCTGCTCAAAATCACCTGCACTTTGTATATTGTTTCTATTGTCTTAATTTTTCTTGTAATAACTAATAACTATACTCTATAGTCTTCATTGTTAACTAAGTTCTTCAAAGTCTATTTGGTTTCATATACTTTCCTTTTCTGTGGAGCTTTTAGTTTTGAACCTGTGTGAATTATTTGATGGCTTGCTTTTGTTTATCCAGTCACTTTTCTCTGGCTTTGATCTACAGTTTATTTAGTGTAATCTTTTCTGCTTGATATTTAAAGTGGGGTAATATACAGCGCTAATCTAGTGTTTTTTTTTTTACCATCCAGAGTCTCAAATATTTCTGATACTGATAGAAACAATACTTCCATACCTTTGGTTTATAGTGTTCTAGTTTATGGCAATCATAGTTGTTAGAAATGTTTTTTCTATTAATTTTTTTATCTATTTGTTTTGGGCTGTGAATTTTGTGAATTTTTAGACCAGATTTTTAGAGCTTTTATGAACTTTATAAGCTAGCACATTGCATTTTTAGGTTAAAAAAAAACATGGTTTATTCTGCAAAAATTTGTGATCTAAAATGATCACATTTTCCACAAACATTTTTTTTTACAAAAATCTGCTTGCTGTTAAATAACTTTGCTATTTTTACACTATTCCTTTATACTGTGAGCAGCAACTATTTATTTTTTCCTTAGTGTACTTAAGGCTATTGGTGGTCAAATTTGTGACATTCATGTTTATCTTCTCTCATGTAATCAAGAGCTTTTTAATCATACAACTAAGTATTAAGCAGTGAAAAACTGTAACAAATAATACAAATACCTACTTCAGTGTGCACCAACAATTTTTTAATTGCTACACTACTATACTAAATATTGAGTTAATGCCTCTTGCATTGCCAGATTGACATCAGCACTAATAAACTAATTGCTAATAGTTTAGTGAATTAATATAAGAAACTCACTTAATTAGCAAACTAAATATTTTTTTTTCTTTAATGTTTTATTGAAGATAAATAAAATGCTTCCATATGCTGTGTAGTAAGGCCATTACATTAAAATAATTGAACAGACTAAGAGTTCATCCAGCATGCTTATTATAGAATTTCATCTAAATTAGTATTTTAAATGATTAGAATTCTTCTAAATTACTTCATCTGAATGTAATACTGTAACCTTACATTGCTTATAAGAAATTATATGGATTAATATTGCGCTTGGTAGTTAGTTTTTAAAATAGCATTAAGTATATAAAGTATGTAGACAAAGTTGTTGGCTAATACTATTAAATGGTAATCTCCAGAAACTATACTTTACTTAACTAGTTGTATTTAACAGACTGAGTTATTTTAAACAAAATTTACATTTTAAAAAAAAAAAATCTGAAAAAATTCTCAAAATGTAGTGGAAAATGGAGCATGCATTTTTACAATGTTGCTTTTTAAAGAGTTAGAGAAAGCTGTATTGCTATAAAAATATGTGGGCTTATGTATGTAAATTTTAACCAGCTTCTGCTTACATTTTCAGCCTGCAATAGCTTAAGCTTAGAATGTAGTATTGTAGTTAACGTAGTTTATTGTTTTTATCTACATAGTTAAAGCATGAGATTTTCTGATGACTTTGAAAACAATTTTAAAATGGTTATGCATTGAAAAAAATATAAATAAATATTTAAAGTGAAAAAAATGCTATATGTTCTAATACGAGTTGTGCTAACTTGGTTCATTTCTTATTTCTGGCAGTATGATGACATACGCTGACCTTGACAGGCTGTCCCCCATGGAAGGGAGAGAAACACCTTTTAAAATCCAGATGCAGATTGCTGAGGTAAATTGACACAGGATGCCTAGTAAGACACATCCTGTTTAACTGATGTCTCTGACACTATGTTCACTTAGATTCTGTTGGATCAAAACTTGTTATAATTATGAAGATTTTTTTTTTAAATGAAGCACACATAAATTTGTATCTTGGGAGTCATTCATAAATGATGTCACGCTTTTGATTTTGACAATTTTTACCTCCCCCTTCCCTATGTCACACATCGTCACAAAAAGCCAGACCCAAGCCCCCTAAAATGACATCACACATCAGTCTACAACACCATCCCAAAATAACGGCCCCTTCCCTCCCCTACGAGTGTGACGTCATTTATGTACAACCCCTTGACAACAACATAGTGAAAAATTTGGAAAGCTCGGATAAGCTGGTTAAAAAATATTTTTCTTTGTTTCAGCAAAAACTTCGTCTTGAACAGGGCCACACAGAGAGGACAATGCTTCTACAAGTGGCAGAAAGTGCCTACAGATTTGCCTTGGGTGCAGTGGCAGGAGGTACATTTTTAGACATTTGTAACTTGTGGTAGAGTGAGGTCTATAGGACAAGCCTGATAAATTAGGTGCTTGACTTAAGTCAGGATAATTAAATGGAGCACAGTTAAACAATAAACCTTTGAATGGTAGTTTTGTAATACGGAGGCATTTTCTGGCTCTTATTTGAGTTGACAGTATTATTATTGTTATTACCTGTTTTTAATGTTCACTTCAACATGCGCCAAGTGAAGGCTGATTATGTTTGTACCTGGGTCTGGCCTAATAGCAATGTGTTTTACTTTTCAGCTACTGGTGCCACAGCAGTCTATCCTATAGATCTGGTGAAGACAAGACTTCAGAATCAAAGATCTACTTCATTTATTGGAGAGCTCATGTATAAAAATAGTATAGATTGTTTTAAAAAGGTGAGGAAATAATAAATTATATTACATTTAAATGTACCATCTTAAGGTAAAAAAAATGGCATATTGAATAATTTTAAGAAATTCAAATGTGTGTTGATGATGTTTTAAAATAAACCGGGAGTGATCTCCCCTAAACTTTCTCGAATATTTTTATATAAAATAACTGGGGATGGGAACTCGGGCTATAGACATGATTTTTAATCCATTTTAAATACTTAAAGTTTTAAAAATAGAATAAAATCTCGTAGACAAAAGAATTGCACACCATGTGAACGCTAAATAAAAAAGTGCATAATAGTGCGCAATATTATTGGTACTTTAAAAATTTACATTAGTTTTTTGAGAAATCGGAAATAGCGTAAATTACTAATTCCGTTCAACAGAAATGACTCAAAATTTAACAGAAGGTAGAGAATTAGATCTTTTACTTACATGTGAAATTTCGTTTATCTATCTGAAATAGTACTCAAGTTATAGGCTTTTGAAAATTTCAAAGTAGGAAAAGTACCACTTCCGGTTATCGGAAATCGCTCAAAAGTTGTTACGGATCTACGATTTTGATAAAATACTTATATATGAAATTTCATCAACCTAGCTGTAACGGTACTCAAGTTATCGTGTTTACACACACTCACACAGACATACGGACAAGATTGCAAAATTATGTTTTTCCGTATCAGTGAGATGTCAAACGTCGAGATTTTTATAAATCTCGATTTTTTTTTTCACGATTACAATACTTTCTCTATACTTCGTATATACAAGAAAGTAAAAAAAGAAAAGGCTTTTTTAATAAATGAATAATTTAGTTAAAAAACACATATAGGCTATTTAATCTCCAGGCATTAAAAATATTTTTAAATGAAAGAAAAAAAGAAAACTAACTTTCTCATATATTAAAACAAAAATCATTATCTCTGATAATTGTCTTAATTATAAGTGGATGAATTTAAGTCAGATATCATCAGCAGGGCATCTTAAATAGTTATAATTTTACTAACTACATAGCCCATAACTTCTATAAACAAAATGTTAATTCTAAAATAAGAATAGAAAAGTAACAGTTTGCGAAAGAACAAGAAAACATCAACAAAACTTATTATTACCAGCTTCCACAGTATCTTCACTATATTGTTAAAAAAAACCAGCAAGACAATTACTGAGCAGACATTAATGCACTATACATAAAATAACATAGTTTTGGGTGGATCAGACAATACCACATGAAAAAAATTTGGTCACATATGACATAAAGGGTTAGGTTTGGAAAAGAAAGGTTATCATTACTATTCAAATATCACAAGCTTGAATAAGGTTTCTAAATCTCCAATATGTTGGTCTTGTGATCATTTGTAAGTTTGTTTAAAAACAGCTTCTGTTTTTCAAAACTGTTGTAGTTGTGGATAAATACGAGTCTTTGTTTGTTACAGGTTATTAGGCATGAGGGTATCCTAGGGTTGTACCGTGGGTTGGCACCCCAGCTGGTTGGTGTGGCGCCAGAGAAAGCCATCAAGCTGACCATGAATGATCTCATGCGTGACAAACTTCTCCAAAAAGATGGCACGCTACCACTGTGGGCTGAAATGGTGGCTGGTGGCACGGTAAGTCAAGAGAATTTTTTAATAAAATCTTCATGTTGATTTTAATCCATTAGAGAAATAATACTATTTTATTCATCAAGTTTTGACCTTAGCATACAAAATTATTGTGTGGTTAGTAATATGCCAGTGCTTTATTTCATTAATAAGGTTAAAATTACTTAATAATTTCCACAATCCATTTTAAATACCCATTCAATCCCAATGTTAAAAATAATCAGTGGTATTAAAGTTTATCTGTATATATAATGTTAGTTTGGTTTACAATGACCCACTATCTTTAGTCAGGTATACATGTTCTAAAAGCTTGAGGAGAACTGGATTTGATACTTTAAGATCAGCAATATATTAGCTCTACCATTTGACCACATTGTCATTTCTAATATTTTGAATGGCATACTAATCAGATAATGAAGACTGCCCAATTAAAAATTTTTTTACCATAACCAGATGTAGAAAAAGTTATTTTTCCTGGTTTTCCGAGTTTTATCATCATTGTACTAAGTTTTTTGAGTTTTTCTAATTAGGCTGGTGCTTCTCAAGTTGTGTTCACCAACCCACTGGAGATTGTGAAGATCCGCCTTCAGGTGGCTGGTGAAGTTGTTGGAAGGGCCAGGGTCAGTGCCCTTAGTGTGATGAAAGAGCTGGGATTCTTTGGTCTCTATAAAGTAAGTGGTGGGGTTTTGTAGGTTTTATCTAGTCAGTTGATTTGGTTTGGTTGTAGTCAGCTGATGTATAAAGGACATTTTTTTATGTTGTGGTCTCTATAAAGTAAGTGGTGGGGTTTTGTAGGTTTTATCTAGTTAGTTGGTATCAAATGGTTTGGTTGTAGTCAGTTGATATATAAAGGACATTTTTACATCTTATCATCTCCACTCACATTCATCACAATGTATACCTAAAGTAAAGTTCCTTTTCAAACCTTACGGTCTAAGAGGAAAGTGAACTAAAGTTGTGTGACCACGGCACATGAAGGGATAGTGTGGTCAACACTATGCCCAGCTGCCTTTACTATTTCTAACGTGACTCGGGTACCCATCAAGCACTTTTACTGTTTTGAACCCTAATTCAAACTCAAAAATTTTGAGTTAGCAGTTGTATGCTCTACCACTTGACCACACCATCCTGTAATGTATACCTGGCTAGTTAAAAAAAAAAGGTTAAATTTACCTAATGTACTAAAACTGTTGACATTTTTCCATTTTGCAGGGATCCAAAGCTTGCTTCCTTAGGGACATCCCTTTCAGTGCCATCTACTTCCCAGCCTATGCACACAACAAAAAGTTTTTTGCTGATGAGAATGGGTACAACTCTCCTGGTAGTCTTTTACTCTCTGCCACAATAGCTGGTGAGTTGTGTCCCTTACTACTTTATTTTTATTTAATTTTTTTGTCTACCAGTGTTTTGGGTGTTTTCCCTTGGCTAAGGTGACTCAAAAAAAAAAAATGATACATTCCGAATGTTGAACACTACTAGTATATCATGTATAATATAGGCCACCCAAAACATAGTACAGGTAAAACTGTAGCCCAACCAAGATTTGTACTGCAATCTCTGGAGAATGTGTTGCATTTGATAAAACATGAATTTGTCGCTTATCAGCTTATTTAACTTTTTCTTTAATTGTGACTACACAAAAACAAATATTAAATTTAGATTGAAGCCATTATTGTCTAAGTCAGTGAAACTTGAGAATAGCTTATCTAATTGGTCTTAAACTCTTCAGGAAATAAAAAAATTATAAAAAGTTAACAATGAAGAACAATGTAAACTGTTTGACTGATACAAATTAAAATTTTGACAGGCATGCCGGCAGCATTCCTGCCCACCCCTGCTGATGTGATCAAGACAAGGCTACAGGTGGCTGCAAGGAAAGGACAGACAACTTACAAGGGTGTTATAGACTGTGCTAAGAAAATTTACGCAGAAGAAGGCATGGGAGCATTTTGGAAGGGAGCCCCAGGTTAGTAACAGTGTCTTTATTCATAACTCATTGGCTGCTATTATGACTAAATGGGACAGATGTCATTGTTGCTAAACTAAGGTGCCCAAATGTAACATGACAAAACCACCACTAGTCATTGTGTTTCTATGGTATGACTATGGTGCAGAAATAACCTGTACCATATTTCTGCTTACCAAATATAATATCAGAAAAAACAAAAAAATTTGACCCCAAAATAACTTACATTTCATGCTGTTATTTATTAATTTATTCTGCAGAGAGTTATAGAAATATTTTGAGCTTGTTTTCATTGAGAATGGCACTTCAGCATTTTTGTAGTTTTTCATTGAATTTTATGAATCAAATCTTGAAACATACATATTATTAGTCATTTTAAATATTAGAATTAAAAATTTGACTTTTAGAATTTCAAATTTTTAAAATATCAGTAATGTTAAGGAGGCCTTCTTGGATAAGACTCTCAACAGACTAGCACCTCTAACATCTAAATCTTAGTAATAAATTTGTGTTATAAAAACATGGAAATGATAAGTTGTCAGACATTATCTCCCTTATTTTACTAATGAGTTAGGTTTTATGGAAAGGCATTATTTGTAGATAAGTTGGGTAAAGATTCCGTACAATATAGTTAAAATGATCTGTATTGTATTAAAATTGTTTTGTATTAAGAGTTTTGAGGTATTCTTAGTTTTTACTCAAGTTGTTTGTTAAATGTTTGTTTCCTCTGAAGACAAATATTCAGATTTTTAATATGTTAGTAATACAGATATGATCATGGTAACAATGCTAGTAAAAAAAAGCTTTCATACAGTGCTGGTATTCCTATAAGTAATTATTATTCATTAGACTATTGCTAAATTTTAAGAATCACGATGGTTACAGAAAATATTGTATGCTTGTAATATTGGCCTTTAGTGCGTTATGCTGATCAGTTAAATGATTCAATATTTTATTTCAGTAGTAAAAATTTTTGTTTTTTTAAAATATTTGTTAATTTCTACAATGATGTTTTTGTCTGTAAATCAGGATGTTATATTCATTGCCTATTGGTAATGTATTGTTGTAATGTTGAGTAACATGAAAGATAACATTCTGCAAGTGTATTTAACTGTTTTTTATCTGTTTACAACAGCTCGAGTGTTCAGATCTTCGCCCCAGTTTGGTGTGACTCTGCTAACATATGAGCTGTTACAGAGAGTGTTTTACATTGATTTTGGAGGAAAGTAAGTATTAAACCACAAAGTAGTTTTCTTGTATGTTTTTATTTTTGAAGTGCAATTATTTCATTCCAAAGGACACTGTTTTGTCAATATTTTTAATAAGTAACAATATATTATTTTATTAGATCATTATGGTAATATTATTTTAAGATTAAAAATATTAAATGTTCAGCCTCATATTTCAAATCCCTCTGTGTTGTTAAAACTACTGTGTATATTAAAAAATGCATGTTTTACGCCAATATATTTTATAATTGACTGAGCAAACTGTTCTCAAAACTATTACGTATATTAAAAACTGCATGTTTTAAATCAATTCTCTAATTGACTGAGCAAACTGTTGTCAAAACTATTATGTATATTAAAAAATGCATGTTTTAAAACCAATCTATTCTGTAATTGACTGAACAAACTTTGCTTGTATTTACCCAGCCGTCCTGAGGGATCAGAGGCCAAGTCTGTCCATCTGGAGGAAGTGCTGTCCCGTAACCCTGACCATATAGGCGGCTACCGCATGGCTCTAGCAACCTTTGACGGCATCGAGACTAAATTTGGACTTATGTTGCCGAAATTCAGACCATCAACTCCAGCTAAGCATTAATGATCTTGAACCTAGTATTATCATCTTTAACAAGTTTGTAAAAGGGTGTTCCTCCCATATTAGTACACTGTTTATATTGAAAGATTACAAAGTAAGGTTTGATTATTTAACATTACGGAAGCTGGGCGTGAATAATTTATTTTAGACTGTAAAAATTTTTTAAGGCATCCATTGTGTGTCTACCGAGTGAGAATATATTTGGTAATAATAGATTTAAGAAATCTCTTTTGCGCCATGTGATAGAACGAATGGAACCCTGCTAGTCCATACACAGTCTTGAACTCAGAATCAGATTTTATATACGAATATACATAGAACCATATGCATAGTTTATATTGTAGACCTGTAGTGGGCTTAATAAAAGGAATGTAGGTTCAGTAACTAACCAGAGTGTGTGGGCAGCAGGGTATGTCTGGGTAGTTGTTGAAAGATAGGAAGATTGTTAATCACAATGCAAACAGTTTGTATGTATGTTGCCTGACATCAACTGAATGTGTATTTAAATATGTTTTTTTTAGTGGAATAACATACAAATACTTCTAAAAGAAGATGGCTGGGTTCTGATTATGTTGGATGGTATGTGAATTTGTGAGTTTATATCTTTTAGGAAAAAATATGAACGCACAAAATTATATTTTAATTATATTTTTTTTGGTGTGACATATTTTTAACTCTTTATATAACTTAGGTAGTAACTAATAAATAATTTTAATTTTTTGATAGCGTTTTGTGAGTGAGTAACATACATGACTAGATCAACAGAATAGTTGGAAAAAAAAATACTAGACTGAATTTTACTTTTCTATTGACTGAGACCTAGGATGTATGCGCTTGATTGCTGACAGTTAACAACTTTCTCTTGGTTCCTCAAGTCCCCATGCACCTTCTCTAATGTATCTTTGTCACATAGGGTAAACAGACTTCCTTGTTTTAGGAAACACAGCTTTTCTTTATTTTAGATGAAAAATTGTATATTAAAATTAAGTAGGTTTTTCAAAGCAGTTACATTGTATAATTTGTCTAATTATGTTTTTATCTTTTTTATAAATAAGTTTTTTCTGCATGCTTTTCAACATCTTATTAAGTTAAATTGAAAGTTGCCTTCATTTAGATGTTTTTTTTATACCTTGAATCTTGTGAGAATTAACATCCTTCTTTGTGCAGTATCTCAGGAAATTTTTCAAAAGCTCTGTAATAACTTATTCAAATTAACCGTTTGTATCATTGATAAAGAGTGCTACTAATACAAATTTTAAACTGTCTGTTAAGAATTATACATCTTCAGTGACCTTTTTTTTTTACTGTAAAACAATTTAATTTTATACATGAAGTAATTTATAAGTGTAGATGAAAATTAAAAATTATAATCAATCTTATTTTTGTTGTTGTAAATATAACAATTTTATTGTTAAACCTGATCTCATAGCAGTACCATTTAGTTTTTGCTATGAATTTCTAAGTTTCTGTATTGCTTTAACAAAAAGTAGTAAAATGCTGGGGGGAGTATTCATCTTTCTAGTTTGTTAAAAATGGTTACAGGGTTGTAAAAAAAAAATCTTTGTTTCATACCTTTTTTTAATGTACAATTTAAACATAGTTGTCTTTTCTTTTGTTACAAATTATCATCTCCCTTACTTAATTAAAACAGGGTTGTCATCATTACCAGCTTACAATTGGGAACTCGGTCTTAATTATTTTAAAAATGGTTGATGCTGATTATTTTAAAAATCAAACATATTTGATTAAAAATTTTATTTTACATCCCCCCCCATTCCTTTTTTTGAGAAGCAATTAAACATGATCTTAAAATACTCAGAACATCACAATATTTTTCCATAATCTTAATGCTATAATAATAATGCTATTGATTTTTAAAAATAAAATATAAATGACACAACTATTATACAGAATGATGGGTATTTTTAAAATTATAATGTTCTACAGTTGTCTATTTTTACTGTCAAGTCATGTATTTTTTTTAATGTAACTTCTACTCAGCTCATTTAGTCCGTGCTGGTGTTATTTTATACAGTGTTTGCTGAATCATTTCTCTTCAGGTTAAAAATTTTTTTTATTGTACCAAGTGGATATTAGTGCTTGTGTTCAGTGTAGGTTGTTTTTTTTTTTTTTTGTTTGGCTAGATGCTGATCACCAGGCCCCCCGTCCATGATTGCGTTATGCCAGTCCTTTTAACTTCATTTCTTAAAATCTGCGAGTCATCATTCTAAAATCTGCCAGTGCTTATTCATTTGTCTCAGTTTATGTTGAGTATTCATTTTTCTATTTATTTCATTAGTAAACTTGTTGTTTTTTTTTTGTTTGTTCCACCAATGTAAGAACCTTTGTCACGTACACTGTTAATTTAAATACACATACGTTGGGTGGACCCGTAGTAGAGAGTTGTCTGAATGCTGAGCTGAACGCAGTGTTTGGATTGTAATAATTGATTCAATACTTGAGCTATAAATAATCTCTATAATAAATGGACTAAAAATAACACTTGTTGTCATTTATTTATTACACTTGTATAACAAGAAAATGTGTATATGCTTATATAATTTTTTAATAACCATAACCAATATGAAAACAAAATATATAAAACATGTTTATGTGAAAGCTGAAATATTAAAATCTGCAGGTAGATATATAAACATAATGTAGATACATTTATAATAATGCATCTATCAGTAGTAAAAAAAAAGACAGCCGTGAAAAGTCAGTATGATTAACAGGTAAGATATTCACAGAGCCATAAGAACTGTGTCCAGTCCATTGCAGCTTTCCTGGTGAGACAGCAGTACTGGTGTCAGATAAGACTGCTCTCTAGTACTTTTAGGCTACCTTGACACTCCAGTCCACCACTGCTGAGGAGTGACCTAAAGTTTTCCTTAGGGTGTCTTTACACTCTAGTACACCATTGTAGAGGAGTGACCCAAAGCTTTCCCAGGTTCCTTGACACTCCAGTTTACCACTGTAGAGGAGTGACCCAAAGCTTTCCCAGGTTCCTTGACACTCCAGTCCACCACTGTAGAGGAGTGACCCAAAGCTTTCCCAGGTTCCTTGACACTCCAGTCCACCACTGTAGAGGAGTGACCCAAAGCTTTCCCAGGTTCCTTGACACTCCAGTTTACCACTGTAGAGGAGTGACCCAAAGATGACTCTAGGAAGAGCTGCTAATAAGTTTTACACTCAGATATAAACTCGTATATTCACCGAGAGTCAACCTTTCCAACTGCATTTCCTTTAATTTACGGTTGGTTAATGAAGTAATTATAAAATTGTATATAACAACCATAAGTGACCAAAGAAATTTTTTATCATAGCAGTAATAGTTCATGTGAGAACTGAAATATGCATATTTTTGCAATATTTAAGTATATACTAAGTATATAGACATCATTTATTATACAATTTGTAGACAAGAAATATTTCATTATCTTTGGTTTTCTTTAATATAAGAGAGAAACAACCAATCGGTTGACAATGAGGCAACTCCGTTGACGGTTTGCACAAAAAACAAGACCGGAAAAAATCGTAGTATTTACTTTCAACGAAATGATGAAGGCAAGCAGATTTTATTTGCTCTTCCCAAAAACAAACTGATTTATGTCCCCTGGTTCAGTCATCTCCGGTGGATTATGTCCCCTGATGTACCTACACCTTCTGATTGAATCCCACATCAGTTCTTGACTATCCCGCACTGCGTTCTGGTAGCCATTGTTTCGTCCGTTTCTGGCTAGTTCTTGTTTTGTCAAAACTTGCGCGAACTTCAGAATATCCCCTTCAGATAAACGCCTGGGTCGGTGGTTACTCAATACTTTCTGCGTACTTTTATTCCGCGATTTCCCATTTATAGAGTTCTGTTGTTGTAACTTAGAGTGATTTCCCTTGATTTTAGCAGTCTCCTCATTTGCACAGCGCGTTGTAGCCATATCGAGGCTTTGACCGTTCGTACGACTGTTGGCTCTATTCAGCTCGTCGTCTTCTTCTTCCTCGGCCACAATATCCGATGGTAAATTAAGTTTGATCGAATGTTTCAAGTCTTCTGATTCTGTACCGTTATGCTGCTTAGCTGACGAGAACTCTTCATGTGTGGATAGAAAAACCCGACTAATTGCGGGTTCAGATTGTCTTCTGATTCGTCTTTTATCCGGAACGTCGAACGTTTCTTGTTTTGCAAAATCTGAGTTTACTTCCTCTGCTGACGTCATGTCCGTGACGTCATTACGACCCTCGGCAGGCGAGGTTGCACCTTTGGGCGTTTGTTTTTCAAGTTTAAAATTTTGTTTACCGTCGACATTATTTTTTAACACCTCTGACGATAATTTGCGTTCCCTACCAGAGTTAGCGTCCTTGTTTGGTTTGCCCCCTCGCTTGTATTCACCGTCGGCGGATTTACCTCCCCTTTTCACCGATGCCGATTTGGCCTTCTCCATTAGGTTGTTGATGTTGACGGGAAAATCGTTTGCTTGTTGACCCGTCACCTGCTGGGGAATGACAGGCACTGTGGCAATACTCAGCCTACGTCTGCTCCGCGGCGAACCGGATGGATCTATTGGGTAGGGAATGTTTAAGTTGCCCTCTATGTAAGGGAGTGAACTCCTCCTCCCGGAAGGTCTTGGTGTCGGGTTGGGATCTAAAAATAGAAAACTTACGTTATTCAATTAAATAAAAATTACTTCTTTAAGTTTTAAAAACTCTACAGGTAGGTCTATACACAGTCGCAGGATTGAATAAACAACTTATAAATCTACATGCAGACGTAAAGTGCAGTCAGCCGTGAAAAAATGAAGAGCAGGCAATTCAAACATAAATAGAAAAAAAAGAAACAGTAACCTGTGGAAGTATAGAGTAATTGCCCCTTACGTAACACTAAACGATAAGTGTGCTTGAATGAAACGAATAAATCGATTGGTTTAGCCACTTGTCGCATGTCTCCTGACACTTGAATGGAGTTCTCGATGACAATCAGACACGTGATCGAATTTTCTACTTCCCATTTACATCACAGCGTGATCGCCATTTTGGGAATGCTCGAGGCCGAAAATAGAACATGTATTTTGTAACGTAACTCGCAGGTGTCCAAAAATAAAACCCACTTGAACGGCTTGAAACTAATTTGATTATTTTTGGAGTTGCCAAAACAAATGCGAGGCGTGGCAACGTCATTGTTGACTTTCACTATCGGTATCACAGGTTCTTAATTTTGCCGCTCCCATATTTTTTCTTAAAGGAGATAGATAAAAAAAAAAGGGGGTGGAGGGGGGTGTCTGATTGACTCACCACTCTTTTATTAAAAACTTTGTAAAATATTTTTTTTATATAAAATTTGATCCCCATAAGCACTTTGTTTCCTTTTAACTGAATGTTTAAACGACGTTGAACCAAATATATATATATATATATATATATATATATATATATATATATATATATATATATATAATATATATACAGCTTTTTTTTTGAAAGTTTGTTTGGGAGACGGGGATTTGGGGTTTTTAAAATCATTTTTTTTTAAAAAAAACCCACAGTTCTATAAGCCTGATCTCTCATCTACAATAATTTAGTTTGTCCTCGAAAAAAATGCTAGTTTTAAAATTTAAATGTTGAATGAAAGACATGTATATTAAAACTAACATAAACTCTAAGGAATACTTGAAAGAGATATTCTCCCAACCATAAAGTAACTGGTGACAAATGACATCTATGTTTACCACTACAGTTGACATTTAATGACATAATATAAAAAAAAATACCTTGCAAGAACTCATCGAAATCTCGAGTTGATTTTTGCAGCTTTGATAAGTCAAGGCCAAGGTCGCGCAGCTCTTTCTGAAATTTGGCCTCGCTTTGGCGTTGTTGCATGTTCAAATCGATCAACGTTTTTTCTAGAATCTTCACCGAGTGCTGCTTTTGGGTCACGACGCGCTCCATGGCGATCTGTGGGGTGGGGGGGGGGGAAGAGAAAGATGGCGTGGTTGTAGCAGCTGATTGGTCTTCATTAATTAAGACAAAAATCTTCTCGCAGGTTATTTTCGATATCATATGCCCAGAGTTTCTTCCAGGGATCTCTTCGGGGGAAGAAAGTCTACCACCCCCCCCCCCCGAACGAAATTGAATTTATATATAAAACATATACTTTTACCAGTGTTCACCCCAACCCCCCCCCCCCGGAAAAAGTTGTCCGCCCCTCCCCCCTCCGGATAAAAAAGTCTGGAAGAAACACTGTATATGCCTTGGATTAAAACGCAACCAAACCTAATTAGAAAAACTACGTTTGGGCTGTTGACTTTAAGAAGAAGTAGATTTTGGGTTAGGGCTAGTGTTAAGGTATTTTACGTCACCGTCAATTTAAAGTATCGAAATTGGTTTAATCGCATCACAGTTCCTGGCTAAAAAGAAATGACACAGGGATTTTAAGAGTTATGTTAGTGCTTTTTTGGAAGTGTTATACTATAAGATTTAATATTCAGTTGTATAAGCATCGGGTTAAGGTGTTATGTTGCTAGTCTTTCTTCTTCGTCGCTCTTAATTTTAGTGTTGGAAGTAATCCCCTCCAACACAATTAAGTACACATGTCAACTGGATATGCGCCAATGAGGCCGTTGACTCCGATGTCAGCCTGCTTTTCGTTTTGGATTTGCTTCCATAGCATTTGTCCAACCAAGAACAAACTACAAGGCAGCAGTTGTTTGATTTTGGCGTTGTCCCCAGCTAACGAGCCTCATCTGCCCGAGGGTTCGAACTCGAGACCATGCCGACTCGACCATGCCGACCCCTATGTTGCTAGTAACTAAATAGATTTTAGCTGTGGGTACATTACATGTCTTGTAATGATATATTTAAACATAATCAAGGACGTAAGAAAATTCTAATTTAATCAGTTATTTGAATATATCACGTCAGTGTAAACAAAAGCTCTACCGGTTATTAAAATAACATAATAATACATCTATCCATGCTCTTGTGATTGTGTGAGCAAACCCAACACTTAAGCGTCGGCTGTCTTTCTATAAGAATGCACAGGTAACATTTATTGCTTCACTAACTTGTGCCATACAACACAATCGATGGCCTAATTAGTGATGCTAGGACGAGAGCCAGAGCCCAAGAAAACATGGAGTCATAAACAGGCGTAATCAGCCTGATCGGCATTTAATTAACAGCCGAATGTAGGACGCAGGATATTTGATTCCTATGGGAAAGTACACTTGCTCAATAAAACGTATTGATCGGACAATTAATCCCGGTCCAATTTGGGCGATTTCGTGGAAATATGCAAATAGTTTATTTTAATCTGAAACCTTAAAGAATTCGTCCGAGTCTGTACACCATTTTAAGGATCTGGTGTGTGTAAGTTTGTATGTGTGAACAAGAGTGCTAGCAAGTTTGTATGTGTGAGCGAGTGAGCGAGTGTGTGAGCAAGTGTGTATGTGTTAGCGAGTGTGCTAGAAAGTTTGTATGTGTGAGCCAGTGTGCTCGCAAGTGTGCTCATGTGTATATGTAAGCCAGTGTACTAGTCAGTTTGTATGTGTAAGCCAGTGTGCTAGAAAGTTTGTATGTGTGAGCCAGTGTGCTCGCAAGTGTGCTCATGTGTATATGTAAGCCAGTGTACTAGTCAGTTTGTATGTGTAAGCCAGTGTGCTAGAAAGTTTGTATGTGTGAGCCAGTGTGCTCGCAAGTGTGCTCATGTGTATATGTAAGCCAGTGTACTAGTCAGTTTGTATGTGTAAGCCAGTGTGCTAGGAAGTTTGTATGTGTGAGCCAGTGTGCTCGCAAGTGTGTATGTGTGAGCGAGTATGTGTTGAATTTCTGTATTCGATTAATTGCGGTTCTAAGCTTGGGAGCTAAGCCTAATTAAGTCCTTAAGGATTATTTGATTAATACTTAATTAAATTTTACTAAAATATTATAATAATTGGGTAGTTTTTCTTGTATGCCTTCCAAGTACTAAATTACATTTTAGTTATTTTAAAGACGTGAATGAGTTATCACACATCGTATGCTTCAATCACCCTTGGTAACTGTTGTAGCTGCTATGAATGAAATATTTAATCCACTAATCTACCTGGTTATAATACAGATCTAGCTAATCCAGCATGACATTAATGCGCTAATCAGAACAAAAACAACGGCACCGCATTATGGGATTCCAGACTTAATCAATTAACAAAACAAACCGTTCGAGTCGAACCTTGACCACATTTAACGTGCCGAGTACAGAAATACGAGCTGGTTCGTTAGGCTCAATACTCCATGCCTGGGTAAATTGGCTTAGTGTTGTGGGGGATTGGGTGGTGTATTGGGAGGTGGGATTAGTGAATTGTGTAAAAGGTTAGTGTCTTGGGGAAATGTTGATGTATTAAGAACTGGGATGGTGTATTGGGAGGTGGGATTAGTATATTGGGTAAAAGGTTGGTGTCTTGGGGAAATGTTGATGTATTAAGAACTGGGATGGTGTATTGGGAATGGGATTAGTGTATTGGGTAAAAGGTTGGTGTCTCGGGGAAATGTTGATGTATTAAGAACTGGGATGGTGTATTGGGAATGGGATTAGTGTATTGGGTAAAAGGTTGGTAAAAGGTTGGTGTGTTGGGGAAAAGGTTGATGTATTAAGAACTGGGATGGTGTATTGGGTAATATGTTGGTGTCTGGGGGAATAGGCTGATGTATAAGGGAATGGGGTGGTGTATTAAAGAATGGACTGGTGTATTGGAGAATATGTTGGTGTATTGGGGAATGGACTGGTGTATTGAGAAAGAGATGGTTTACTGGAGAATTGATTGGTATATTGGGAGATGACGACATAGCCGCACTGTTGGACCATTTACTACACACATTTTGAGGGGAGTGTGCGAAGGGGGTGTCGTGTAAATGCTTAAAGAAACCCCGGCTTAACCCAAATCCCTTCGGCTTACCGTGCCACTCCGCAAATTCGTCCCCTAAATCAAACCCCCTACTTTAGGAGCAACTGACCTAAAAAGATAGCCACTCGACTACTCCTGGAATATTGATTGCATAATTGATCTGGCATAATTACACATTAACCTTGGCACGTCTTACCGACGTCGGAAGTTAATGTCTAAGGAACATTTCCTAAAGTAAATAGACACCGAACTCGTTCCTGATAAATATTTCCAGGTTTAATTAAACATTTCCCGGTGATTGTCTTGTATCTGGAGTCAACTATAAAGATAGTCCAATAAAGATAGTAGAGAATGTTCTAGCCTGGATGTCTTATAATAAAAAAAAAATCTGTCAAGGACTTTTCTAATTTATGATTACCTCCCCGTTTTTCTGACTACAGCCTTGTTTCAGGTAATTTATGAACTTGAAATGGTTTTTCTTATAAAGTTAAATTATTTGACCAGCCATTGATTTTCTTCTTCTGTGCAAGTTTTAAAACATATGGATTGTCTTTGAAAGAAAACTATAAGCGGGGAGAAGGTGGCGATGGAAGTAATGTTAGTGAATAAGGTGGTCTAGTGGTAAAACGCAAGCTTTAACTCAGATTTGATAAGTTCGATACCTGTGCTCAAGACTGTTCCCCACGCAGTGGCGTAGCCAGGATCGTCTCAAGGGGGGGGGTCCAATTTTTACCCGGGGACAAACTTTCGATTTGCACCCCCCCCCCCTCAAACTTTCGATTTTCACCCCCCTCAAACTTTCGATTTGCACCCCCCCCCCCCCTCAAACTTTCGATTTGCACCCCCCCTCATACTTTTTATATATATACCGAGGGGTCTATGGGGGGGGGGGGGGGGGTTATGACCCCCCCCTAACCCCCCCCCCCCTGCCTACGCCACTGTCCCCACGTATCAGCTCCTACCCCCACCCTCAATCATTGCTCCCCACCCTCAATCATTGCTCCCCACCGAGCTAATACTAAGCGTAATTCAAGAAAATAAACCAGATTCTACATTCTGATGTGAAGCATACTTTCAGGAAATTATCCTCTACATTTTTTGTAATTTACTTACAAGACACAATCCACACAAGCAATAAAAACGACTAAGAAAAACAACAGGGGCGGGGATTCAACTGAACAAGAAGAGCAAGAACGCCTTTTTCTATCTTTGCCTTCATAAGTTTAATTTAGTCAGTTGTTATGTTTATATTACAATTCGTTAGCCGATGTAACTGCTTTAATAACATAGGCCTAATTATGCCATGATTACCCTACAACCCATATGATTAACCCTAAAAGCCCAAACACAACTCCTATGATAACCTCTACCGTTATCCCTAACGATACCCCCCCTATGTTATAATCTCATCGATAACCCCTACGATAAGCCCCCGAGATAACCCCCTTACAAACAGTTGGTTGAACTTGGTTGAACCCTAGAGGTTACACAGGACACTCTGGAACTTCTCAGGTCACGTCTGCTGAAGTTCATCGAAACGTGACCTGTACACTACCCGCAGTATCTGTGAAAAGCTGCACTATTTGGTAGACGTGAATAACGTGAAATGACTCTTTCACCACAAGTGCCATTACAGGCGTCTTAAAGTAAATATGGAGAACAGGGGTAACCCAAACACATTATAACCGCTAAGCAAATAATAAAAATATAACCTTGATACGAAAGCGATTTTATATTTTTATTATATTTTCACTGCTAGCAACTTTAAAATTAATCTAGACTTACAAAGCCAGATCATATGTTTTGTTATTATGCACGTACCAGAGGCGTAGCGACCCTTCCCGGCGCCCGGGGACAAACTTTCAATTTGACGCCCCCCTCGGGAGCAAATTTTGAATTTGCACCCCCCTCAAACTTTTGATTTGCACACCCCCCTCCAACTTTCGATTTGCACCCGCCTCAAACTGCAAAAATGCAGTTAAAATGACATTTTCATTTGTTTTTACAACCCATTTTGGCACCCCCTGAGGTCGGCGCACGGGGACATATGTACCCCCCCCCCCCCCCATCGC